TTCGGCAGTAATGAAGAATGTATTTGAGATAAGTGGAGTTTCAAGTTAGCGGACTTTGAATTTAATTTTTGAGAGTTCCTTTGATTTGACTGGGTGCTGAAGTGTTTTTTGAAATGTAAAGACACTTTCACAGCATCGTTTGAAAATAAAAATTAACCCAGATTGCGTCAATTAAATTTTGTGAAACCTCCAACAATTAGTTCCATTTAAACGTTTAGGAAAATCTTTAAACGGATACATATTTTTTTCGCCGATCCTTACCCCATAATTCCTTTCCAGGCTTAAATTTTTTTCTGGAGTACAAACTTTCACCATGCAAACTCGTGATCTATTCCAAACCCTGGAAATACCATTTCCACTGCGAAAGCTTGAAATGCACTTCTCTGTTTCACTTCTTTTTCAAGTGTGAAGAGAGATGTACATGAATCATGAACACGAAGCGGACATGTAGTTCACTTTCCCCTTGCAAACAATGATACATGTCTGTTTATGAGGTCACATGTATAACAAGGACAGTGATTGGTCCCAAAGTCTTTGTTTTGTTTTCCATTACTGATAATACAAAGTAGTTATTATAACAAGGGTATTTATGAAGTCCCAAGGACTTTGTTATAATAATGTTCCCGTGACATTATGGGATGTTTCTTACCTTTTCCATGAAAATGTGTGGTATTTATACGTATGCAAAGTACAACTTCATATAGTGGAATTCATTGAATTCTGTTTATGATGCATAATGGAATTGGGATTGTCATTCTTTCTCCATAAATGAAAATAAAACTCGGGGATTAAGTGGCAGGAAAATGCACAAGTGACTTTCAACATTTCATCGAATCATTGGAAGAAAATTTCAGTGCCCCTCAAAACATCACGAATTTTACATTTTACGGTACCTGTTCAAGATGACTCAGCGCCTTGGATGTACCTTCTTTTTATGATTGTCCGTGTCAGTCTTACTTGTGAAAACATAATTACAACCCAGCCTCACACCTACCTAGATTCTTGTCCTTGAACATGGGTATGTGTTCACATGGCAAGTCTCTTGGGAGGCGTAGAGCCCCCATGAATGTGACAAAATGGCCAGGATGTTCAAGGGAGGGCTTCGGAGTAGGGGAGTTGCGCACACAATGCAACATCTCATTGTCTACAGGTGGATTGGACAGGCAATGCTGACACCCGGGATTGGTGCATTTAGCAAAAAATAACCATGACAGTGTGCCGATCCATGAGTCGAGTGGCAAATAAATATTTGTCACACATTTCCCTGTCCTCCCGCAATCTGGTAGCTGATGATAATAGTGCAGCGTGTATGCAGTCAAAGTCGTCACGGAGAATCTGGTGAGCGGCTTGGGGTGTTGATCGTCTGAACGGGATCTTTGGCATAGGTCAAGATCACCCAGTAGCACTGGATGCTGGCCATAGCACCGTCAAAGCTGGCCCTCTCCTCACGAGCTACTTTGGTAGGCTGGGACTGCTGGCTGGGTGGCTTTTCTCAAGGGAGGGCTGCGAGAATTGACGTGGAAGTGAGTGCCCTCATGCAGGGTGCCCACAGTCACTCCATGGGGTTCAACGCAGAGTGGCCGGGGCAGCAGCTGCTGGCAATAAGGGCGTCCAGCCTGCACTGCTTGAAGAGGCAGCCAAAGTACAGCAGCGTGGTTCACATTGAAGTCCGGGCCGCCATCTGCAAGCAGTAGGAGGAGTGAACGCCCTTGTGCCACTGCATCCGCTACCCCAGCGTGATTGATAAGATCATTAGAAATATGACAAGGGTTAATGTGAACCCCTGTTGACAATTGTTGCCTTGCTCTTTTCTGGAAGTCTGGGAAGGAAACAAATTGGAATACTTGTACACATACGCTTGGATAAAAATTAAATAGGGTAAAAATGATATAAGTTGCTAATCATTCAGTGGAGCTGTGACGCGGCTTTCCCCCCCCCTTTTTTTCTGGAAATGGTGTATGTACAACGGGCGATGCCCATCACCACTGCATACGCACATAATGCTGGCCGCTACAAGCATTGAAATAGACCGCCCCCCACACATTTTAATATTTAAAATCATTTTCAGCTTGGACATGTACACAGGGCATAAGACCACCTCATTGTCTGATTCTCAGATATAAATGTAAAATACAGAAATGACGTCATCAGAAAAGAGTGCCTGTACAGGGAACTAGAGGGACTCCTTGTCTGTATATACATGTACTATTTACTCAACCGTGCCCCATCAAAAATGCATTGAAATTACAAGTGATTTTTTACTCAGTGCCCCCCAAAATTTGTCTTTGATAATTCGTTATGGGAGAAATACTTTCTTGGTGCTTGCACTGGACAAAGGGCTCAATCCTTGCCGTATACATGAATTGCTCTCTCCCGAGGTGATCTTTGGTGATAGGTGAGGCTAGGTCTGGTGTCTTCATCTGGAGGTAGTTTGACGGAACGATGTTACATCCCAGAACAGGAAAGTCATGGTCTGGTAGGTTGGGGTAGTCAGCAACAGGGGAAAAATGGTTAATCTTTATGCACCGATCAACTGCAGCTACCTGGTTGCTGAGCAAGATCTTGTTTTTGTCTACGGAATAAATAAGGGCGGAGTCTTTGTAATGTACTTCGATGGCAGTTCCAGGGCATACCTCACTCTCGCCGCGTAGAAATGGCTGTTGTCCTTTCGGATTGAGTTTTCCTTGGCAGGAACACGAGCGTCAATGAAGCCATGGTATTCCTGCGCAACTGTGGAATTTTTTATGGGGGGGGGGCTGCATCCACTGCGTGATCGTCTTGTTACCTGAAACGGAATCTTCACTAAACACATGTAATATTTTACGTCCTTATGTATTGCACTGGAAAGAAAACTAACAAAGATGGGATGCCATTTTAAAAGAAATATATCTGCATTACTTCCGGAATTCACATTTCCATAATTTCCAGAAAGTTTCTGACCCTTTCTATTGTCTTTCTATCAACGATGAAAACAAGGTAGCAGCCGATCAGGCGGCACAAGCAGTGTTGCTGCCTTTATCATTTAGATAAATGTCCTACATGAATATGACATATAGGAGCTTAATGAATTTTTCATATAAAAATGCGTGGATAAGTAGTTAACACTTTGTTAACACTACTTGTGTGTGTTGAGGCTTGTTGGTGCTAAATAGCATGACGCGACAATATGGACAATGGTTCTGAACAATAATCCTGCTGTTTTAGTGTGTCAAACCTTACCTGGATTCGACCTCTCTTCTTGTAAATTTGGAACTATGTGAAACAGGTGTTGCTTGATCTGTGGTATGGTGGACCCGCGTATGAGCCCAAAAGCCATTGTCTGCAACAAAGCATCTGGCTTTTCAACTGCCGTTGGGAAAAGATCTGTGCTTCAATTTCTTATCCTTGGGACTTCGTTTTACGACTGTTTTTCTTCTGTTTGGATTTTCTGAAAGCCAGTGGATGTACTTTTTAGCACTGTTCAGCTCCTTGAGAACCATCTCTACTCTTAACAGCATCAACAGCAGTACAGACCAGTTTTAAGCTTCCCCAAGAATTTGGCATGCAGAATCATACAAGAAACCTGTCAGGGTCTTAACCCTGGTCCAACACAATGCTATGTCGGTGAGAGCTTGGTCCAACACAAATGCTATGCCGGTGAGAACTTGGCTCGCGGAATCACTAAAGGATAATGATTACGCGATGGGATGGGGGAAAAATTAAACCACGCATGATCCAGGTTTATATATGTGACTGGTCACCACAAAATGAGCTTAAAGTCTGAATTTTCCAAAATTAAGATATTGGTAATTTTTAATTCAGCAGAAATAAAGCTTTCCAGTGGCATGTAGATGGAACACTTGGTGTAAAAGTATAAGGTGACAATGTGACATTATTCTGGCAGCTTTGCGTCAAGGTTCCCGGCATATTTTCACTACTTCATACCAGGCACGAATAATGCCATTATCAAATTGCTGAGAAAAGGACCTTTTTCAATATATGATCCTGTGAAATAGTTGGAATTAAATAGGAGAAATGGGTTAGTCTTTTCAAATATTACAAAACCTCAAAATAGGAAAGAGTGAGATGCGACTTTACTCTCATTTTGTTGTAACAGGTCACATATATGCTGTTTTGGGAAGTAATATTTTGGTGGGTTGCATGCCTGGTATCCTTGCGTGATGGCAAGGGAAACAAAAACCACAAGTGGCCTAGGTTTATAAATAAAAGGAAATGCTGAGACAGGCATTGTCAATCAAAAGACACAACCCCTAAAAAAGGCAACTGGCCCCATTACCTTGCAGAAATATTCGGTCCGTCAGTTGTCAATCTTTGGTTTAATAAAAAGCTCCTCAGGAAATTTATTGGAAATAGAGTGTTGTCGTTAATGTCGTTGAACCCCTGTCCAACTTAAAACTTTACATTTTGGAAATCATTTTGTAGTACATGTATCTCGGGCTCACAGGGTACTGACCACATTGCACTGCAATTGGAGGTCTATTTGAGCTTCAGGCAGACTGAATAATTTTCAGACCTGGATATTGGAAAATGACTGTACACAGACCATGAAATTCAAGTTGAACTTACGATCTGCTAAAATTTCAAAGACACAAACACTTTTCTGGGTTCCTTCCCACCATCCCTTGCTTGGAACTTGGGACTCGCTTCCATAGGACCCACTCTGCGGCTGAAATTGACAAAGGACATCAGCGCGCCACGGTGAGCCTTGTGTGAGAGAGGAATTTCCTTATTCATGCTGCTCGTTAACATAACAATAGTGAGCGCACAATAGGGATCATGTAATGAGCTGGAGACTGGTCTGGGCGCCGCCCTGCCCCGCATGTTGAAGGTGGACAGGTGACTTGGGAAAATGTGATGTGGGGCACAGCGGCAGCTCGCGGTGCGCCAATTAAAATCTGTTTGACATACCCAACTTAACCCTCTCCCCACCCACCATAGAATTTTTCTCCTGTGATGAAAACTGAGCCTGCCAGTGTACAAATTTTTTCCCTGTGCTGCAGAGTGATGTCGAGGCATCGTACAAGGAGTTACTGGCATTGTCGCACAGCCGTAGGAAGGCCTTGTCGGATCACAAGGAGCTGTATGAGTTCTACAGTGAGACAGAGGAGACGGCAGACTGGATACAAGACCAAGAGGCAGTGGCTTCCTCTGAGGATTACGGAAAGGATCTGGAACACGTTGAGGTATTTTTTTTAGCTATAAGGAGGTTTTTCTTAATCCTGGCTTTGTTTTTCCATCTCAGGCTTGGTCTGTGACATGGAAGCTCCTAGGCCTGGAATGTTCAAACTAAATGAAAATTCTTGCATCATTGGGCCATTAGTTTCAGGTTCATCCAGCCAAACTTTATTTTTTCATTGAGCTAAAAACTCAGCAAAGCTGGAGACAGAGACAGAGGTTTTGACACTGCTGTCGAATTGTTCAGTGAGATAAAATTAGCCAAATTAACAGTTCGTCTGACCAGAACTAACGTATTTCCTTCATTGAGGTTATACATGTTTTCAGAAGAGTGATGGGGGGATACTGGTTAAACCCAAAATGTGCTTACCATAGAAAATCAAACTTACATGTACGTATGCTGCATGGATACCATTACGACAGCTGATGGTTTCATGAGAGCTTGTTCATATATAAAATGCGTCATACCGGTAGTTTAAAATTTGCGTCAGGTAGTTTGAATATCTTACACTCAGGATTTCAAAGGGATTTTAATTGCCATACGAATAACTAGTGGTAAAGCAAGGCAGACTTTGAAAACACTACGAAATCAAAGCGCCTGCAAACTTTTTTAATTGTTTGAACTTGATGCTTCCTACTTGGAAAATTTATTACGCAAACAACAAAATCAACTGTATGTTTGCACTTGCCACCAAAACATTTCAATAAAATTGACCAAATCATAACATAAAACAATCAAAACCTAAAACCTGTATCAGGAGCACTGTTAGAAGTAACATTATTGCTGTTGACAGAATTGACACATTCAGTGAGTTTAACTTCAAAATCTTATTTGTTTCATAGATTCTCCAAGTCAAGTTTGGCGACTTCACACGGGACCTCCTGGCCAACGCACACCGCGTGGCGAGTGTGGGCACCAGGAGCCTGCGGCTGGTGGATGAGGGCATCGGCGAGGAGAAGGAGATCCTGGAGCGCTGCCATCGGGTGGAGGAGATGTGGGAACAACTCAAGGAGCTCACCAATGCCAGGACCGAGGTATCTAATGTGACCCATCTTGTGGCAACAATACGCCTAGTCTCGATAGCAGGGGGGCCAGGGGAGGGTTTGTTTGCTGCTTAGGAAAGAATAGAAGATTAAAGAAGTGGTGTTACCCAGAGATACACCACAAAAGCCTGTTAAATCCTGTACAACCATGAGTTACCTCTCATTGAAATTTACATTCTTCCATTATTTGTGTTATATGCTTTGTGCCCCCAAATCTGTCACAAGTTTATTTGTCCGTGGAAAGCCTCGTCTTTGCCCGTTACTAGTAAATTTTCAAATTTCCATATTTCTGCTTTGTTTCAGAAATTATGCTGTCCTTGTTGAATAATATTTATGAGTACGCTTTGCAAAAATTAATTTTAAAACCACTGGATTATCTGTCCAACTCGAGTTTTATATTGCAGCGAGTAATGTGATCCTTGTAATAGTGGATAGTAGAGTGCAGAGTATGATCAGATTTGTCAAGAAGACGCTTGACTTGAGCTGATGTGGGCTGTCAGCCAGTCAAAGAATGACAGGCAAATTGTTGGGGGAGGGAGTTTCTTGTGCTAGATGCCTTCCCGCAAAAATCGTTAGGGGAAGGAGTTTTTTTGTTCTGGATGCTCTCCCTGCAAAACTTATATATCTTGGAGCTTGTGATGACTCAGCAGCATGGGTTTTGCAGGCCTTGGCAGCAGCCAAACTGATCCACGCTTTTGACCGTGACTCCGATGAGACGAGGAGCTGGATACAGGAGAAAGAGAAGACAGTGTCTTCTGAAGATTACGGCCACGACCTGGCCAGCGTGCAGGCCCTCATCAGAAGACACAACGGCCTGGAGGTTAGTGCTCATAGCTGCCTTAGTGGTTGACCATAGAGGGTGTGGCTGAATGTATGGTATGTTAAAGGTAGATGTGACCCTCTGAAGGTCATCACAGGATGGTTGCCAACGCACTTTCGTTAATACATGCATGTTTGCCTATACCTTCCAAATAGGGTAGCGGTTTTACATTTCCCCTTTTTTCCTATGGTCTGTGCCGCATGCTGCCAAATATACCAGAAACTGAACTTTATGTGTACTCCTTTGCAGAGGATGTCTGTTTCTACTAGGGAGGCCTTGTGTATGCTGAAGTCAAATTGACAAGCTCTGCACACTATAGAACTCATATGCTCTTGGGCATGGTTTTGAATGGGAAAATTAACAACAAATTTGTGCGCGACATGTACATGTAGTTTCATTGGATGATTTGGAAAAATACATAATACCATCGCACAGCACTTTCACTGAAAACCTGCATTATCACAAAGCACAATAGTTCAGTTATAACGCCCGTGGCATTGAACAGTTTGAACAGAAATTGGACACCCCCAGAGTAACATTCAGCCCCCTCTGGCCCTCATATAGTAAGAACCTTGGCTACGCTGCTGGTCACATTGTGACCAATTTCCACTTTTGTGTGGATCACCCTCTTTCCACAGCATTCTGAATAATGATGACCCATGTTTATTTTTCACCAGAATTTTTTTGAATTGTTCAGAAATAAAACCGCAGATGTTGTTGCTGTTTTTGGCAGCGAGATCTGGCAGCCCTGGAAGAGCAAGTGGCCTCAGTCTCGACCGCCGCAGCCCAGCTGGTGGAGCGTTTCCCTCATGCCTTTGATCGTATCAGCCACAAGAATGACACCGTGGTGGAGGCGTGGAACCTGCTCCTGGAGGAGGCAGCCACACGGCGCGACCGCCTGGCCCAGGCTGAGCAGCTGCAGACCTACCTCAACGACTACCGGGAGATGAGGTTGGTGTCAACAGGCAGAGTGTGGAGGTTTCACCAAATCTTGGCTTTAATTTTATATATGTTGCAATTATTAAACAATGAGTTACATGCATGTCTGGAAAGCTCTCAGTGTGTCATTTGTCACATGGCAGAGCTCACATTCCCATTCCATTCTGAAGATGACTGAATGAGTCTTATTGATTCTTTTCTCTGTGGAGTTCAGCTCAAAATGACTGAGAAAACAGGCTTGGAAAAGTTGAGTCTGATTCAGACTTTGGCTTTGGAAACTCACCTGAAATCTTCCCAGCAACCCGCAGGTTCCTTGAAATATATCTGTTTGTAAAACCTGAAAAGTGAGAGATCAAAAATGTATGGCCAAATATATGAAATTGACTTTCCGTTAGAAATGTCACCCTCAAAACTTTGAGTAAGTAATTGCACAGAAAGGCATACTGGCATAGCACGACTTACCTTTTTGAGGAGCTGGTCACACATATATTCCCCTGCTCAAACAACCCCTTTAACCACTTGGTACCATCGTTTCCGGTACTGTACTCCTTGGGTTTGTATGCATAGCTGGGCTACCTGAAATCGGACAAAGGAGCTGGGTCTGTACTCTGAACAAAAGAGACCCACTGCTGGGAATTACCATCATTTTTCAGCTGGCATTAGCGGAGGTAATCCGTCACTGTTTTGAAACATCCCGCATATTCAAATTAATGTCCAAGATGACTGTCTATTTGTAGATGCAATGCCTCCACGACTTAGTTTTTAATGACATCAGACAACTGCATTAAAGTTGTGGAGTGTGTTTACATTCCAGGTGATCAGGGGTAAGAATAATGCATCGACTAGAGTGCCAGTGTATTGGTGGATATGCATGCTTTATAAACACGTTATTACCATTATTACTCCAATGTAGGAGCAACTTTGATTTTGGTTTCAGGAAGGCTACACGTGCAAACCTGAGTATATATTGTATGTTGTGAGTGACTTCTAATTACAAATGTTCTCAGTTAGGTAGTGTACATTTAACAGTCTTCATTTTGTTCCAGCGCTTGGATGAGCGAGATGATGGCCCTGATCACTACCCACGAGACACCCCATGACGTGCATAGTGCCGAATCCCTGCTGGGTCGCCACGCTGAGCACAAGGCCGAGATAGACGGCAGGACAGACAGCCTGGAGCAGTTCACCAGCACCGGCAGGGAGCTGATTGACAATGGTCACTTCCTTTCCAACGAGGTAGGAGTGTAGACTGTGCTAATAGGGCTTTGTGACGGAGCCAGCCATGCAAGCTACATGTATGTATGGCTACCGCAATTCCTTCTAGAAGGAAACTGTTTACCAACAATGGAAAGTTAATGTACCATTTCACAGCAAGATGTTGGTGCCCGGACTGTAGATTATTCTGTTTGCCATTTTGATTAATTTACCTCAATAAATGTGTTGGGTGTGCCTCTCTGATTGGTCCTCAGAGCTATGTAGTTACTGGTGCCAGAATACCTTCCATAGGGAAACCCTTTACCAACAGTAGAAAGTTGAGTTACTATTGCACGGTAAGATGTTGGTACCAAGACTGTAGATTGCTCTGTTTAGCTCAAGAGCCTATGCAGGACTCATCACACATTGCCCATTTGTTTAGACGTCCCAACAGCCCCGTTCGTGGCATGGATTTCCAACCACACAGACTCAAACCAGTAGGATTTCATGCAAGTAGGCATGTGGTCATAGTGTAAATGTGAAAGTCTCTACTGGTAAGAGAGGTGCCATGCCGAGAACTGTACATAAAGTGCAGTCATTTTGATATTGTTAAGTTTGCTCCAATGATATGTGTGTTTTGTCCATGGCCGTCAGATCTCAGACAAGGTGGAACAGCTCAAACACTCGTGGGATGACCTCCTCACCACCTGGCATGAAAAGCAGGCTCTGTTTGACACCTTCCTGGATGCTCAAGTCTTCGAGCGGGAGCTCGAGCAGGCCGAGACTTGGCTGGCTGCTCGGAACCCAGTGCTTCAGGACCAGTCGTTTCTGGTGAGAGAGGCTCTTTGATCCCTGCTTATCTACAAGTCATTGTCCCATAATACGGATAGTTGTAGGGAACTGAGTACAGTTTTTAAGTGGGGTTCTGTAAAAGAGGTATCCCCGGTGTAATACGTGTAAGTTCAAATTTTCATTTGGTAAGGAGCTTAACTTGACAATGTTTCCCCTAATTTCCATTATAAGTAGTTGCAAATTGCAGATCAATTCAGTTTTCTTGAAAATTCCTTGATATGGACCCCCTTCCACCATTGATAGTTGCCATTTTGCTGCTGATGAGTGTTTGACCCCTGCTCCCTCACCCAACCCCGCTCCCCCGCCCCACAAAAAGGTTCCTGATGATGCCTACGATGTCCACTGTTTCTACTGGTGTTGATGCATGGCGGCACTGACCCTAATAGCACAGTTACTTTGATGTTGAGTAAAGCCCTGATTACTGGCTGTAGAAACACAAGCGCTTGTGTAAGGCTTGAGAAGACAATCAGCTAAAACAAGTCAAACTGAAAAGAAGTCTCTCTCAACCTCATTCCCATATGTTGAGATAAGGTTGTCCTTATTTCTAATTTGGCCCTGTGTTATTCTGTGTGCAGGAGGATACTCTGGATATTGAGGAGATGATCAAGAGACATGAGGACTTTGAGAAGACCATTGCTGCCCAGGAAGAGAAGTTTGCTGCCCTCAAGAGGCAGACCAAGGTAAGTGTTCGGATAGGAGTTTTGACAACTTAAAAGCCCAAACAAGAGAATGACTAACTTTGTGAGAATATCCAAATGTCTTGCATTGTGTTACTTATTTATAAAACAATGCAGCTTACCTCATATAAACAGTTTACGACGTGAATTATTTCACTACAGTGATTTTTTTTGTGTATATACCGGGAGTACACGTATGTAGATAGAACCTTGGTGCTGAAAGGCTCCACCACTGTTGTTTTTTTCTTGTGGAGAAGGTTGCAACCCTTTCTTTTTAGCAAATGGCACACTAAACACAACTGCTGACTTTTGTGGTGCAAGACAAGAGATTTTCTTAAATTCCTTAATTAAGGATGCATGGCCTTACAGCAGTCAACAGTCCTAATTGAGAGCTAAAGATGAGGTACGCCACATGTATCAAACAAGTTTATGGTATCAAATCTTTACAGTCAATGCTCTCAATATGAATACAGTTTGCCTGGAAGGCCTTTATCAAACTATCTTGATGTGGGTACAAATGCACTTGCATGTAGAAGCACGCTTAGATTATTAGATGGCCATGCTCCCTTCCCCCCTTTTTCTGTAAAATAAAAGATTCCCTTTTTGTTGAAGTGTGAAGAGCAGTCGTTTGGCCACCAAAAGCAACTGGACAACATCCTGGAGGAAGTGAATGATGCCCCCGTCACCTTGCGTGACATAGCTTCAGAAGATACCGAAATGATTTTGGAGGAGGATGAAAACCTGCCAGGGACACTTGGAGAAGCTGAACGGGTATGTTATGCAGTGCATCGTCAAACTAGTTTGGTCCTTTGTCAGCTTGGGTGTACAGTGACACCATGCAGCAACAACCTCTGAAAACAGGGAAGATCATATGCAGGTAGCGAATTTTCCCCCAAAGAGCCAAAAACTAAGAGGGTCTCAAGGAGCCAGTAGAAACTGCTTTATTGTGTTACATCAAACAGCAAATCGAGAGACAAGCAGCACTGATGACCATGAAATTCCAGAAAAGCCTGTCAAGTGATTTTGACATTTTCATTTACCACGGGGTCTGTGTACTGTTTGACTATTTGACAGTATACCTATAAGCAATCACTTCAGAATGTAGCTTGGCATTCTGCATTCATCATTGCATCAATGTGTGCGTGAGGCGCTGTCTGGCCAAACTGTGTCCAAAATGCCTTAGTATTTTATTTGCAGTATTGTCACATTTCTCTGGAGGATTCAGTCAGTCCATGAATATTTGGTCAAAATCATGCTTTTCCACTTAAAATCATAAACAGCTTCCATTTTGTCAACATATATTCTAGACAACCTGCAGAATTTGTTATAAAATCCTTAACGTTTTGAGTCAGTCTGAGACAGACCAGCCATTTTGAGACCAGTGTGAAATGATACTGCTGTTGCAGGCCCGTTGCCTGACCAGAGACTGGGGGGGGGTTGTCAAACCAAAAAGTTGAACTTTTCGTACTGTGAACACATATTTTTATACAAAGGTCTATCACAATGTGCTTTGGAAAACAACATTGAAAACTTGCATGTCTGTCGCGAACCAAGGGGTTGCATGCAAGAGTTGTACACTGTAGTTTTTCAATATTTAAAAAACTTAAGAAAAATACATTGATTTCAAGCCCGTTGAAACACCTGAAATGGATATTTGCCGGAACTTCCTGACAGTTCATATGACTAGAGATGGATTCATTAATATGCAGAATCGTCACCTTGAGCTGAATATTAGGGCCTATGGTATATTTAAAATATTTTGTAGGGCCTAGACAAAAAAAAAGAAAAAAAAAAGACCCCACCAATAAGCGGAACTCAGAAGTTAGGGGGGGGGGTTGTTTGAACCCCTCGAACCCCCCCAGCCTACAGGCCTGTGTTGTTACTCCATCATTGCAGCAGTCTGACTGATAGTACATTGCAGTTGAGAGTTAACTCTGTGAATGGCAAAGGGGAATTTCGGCACACACAGTGTGAAAATGTTTTTTCCCACCTGTGTGAAATGGCACAGGAATATTTCCCCACTTGTGTGAAAAGGTGGGAAAATGTTTCCCAAAGTGGTAAACTGTTTTCCTTTTTATAACACATGCACCGAGGAAGCTGTCAGCTAGTGTCTTTCTCACCATCCCAGTTACAAAGTCTCTCATGTCCGTGTATTGACACAGGCTGCCCTGGTGGCACAGATAGAAGAAGAATTGTTTGAGGAAGAACTGCAGGAGAAACTCCAAGCTGTCCTGCCTGACGATGAAAGCATCTCAGTACAACAAAAGGTAACAGCAGCTTAACTCCAAGAGCTGAAGGGGGTAGGACTCCGCCCCTCTCCAGAATGCAACTGCTATGTCCCCAGTCATTTTGAAACTTCGGACACTCGATATCGGTCCAAATGTGATATTTTGGTCATTTGAAATGCGTGGCCTTGTGCGTATTGGCCTGCATGCATTGTGCATTTCAATGAAAGTATACATTTTTTGACTGACCTGTCTCGAAAGAATGCATGTCACACAAGAATGACGTGTCTGATTTTCACAAGATCAGTGGCAAAGTGACCATAAAAACTTTCTTGAAGCTTGGTGGGTGAAAAACTTTAACAGCTTTAATTATGAATGGTTCATTTGATGTTGGATCTTATGCACACCAACTGCATTGTTCCAATGAAAGTTGGACTTTCAAAAATGCCTTTCCAAAAGCCCCTCTGATTGGCAGAAAAGCACTTTTCCGTTAACCTCCCTCTTGCCTTGATTTTTCTGCAGGTCCTTCCCGTGCAGACCAAGAGAACAGATCTGTCCCCTGAGATCAAAGCCAGTGTTCCTGTCCCTGAGAAACCACTTGCCAATGGACGTAAATCCGAAAAACAGAGCATAATTAGTTCTGCGTTAGGTAAGGAGCACCTCATCAATGAAGGGGAGCGACTCAGAGATGCAGAGAAGCGGCCTCCAAGGCTAAATGGCAACCCCATTGACATTAGCTCACCGGTTACTTCTATAGATGAGTTGCTCTCCGAGGATGAAGTAGATACAAGGGACCTCATCCATCAAGCAGAGATCCTTGAAGAATCCGCAAAATTACCCTCAAACCTCAGGGGCTCAGAGAGACCAGACTCTACGATGGCTGTGCGCCAGAGTTCCAGCCAGCAGGCAAGGGCGGAGTCACCAAGCGGCAGGCAAGTAGAACCTGGGCCTGGGCTTAACCAACCAGATTCCAAAGCTGACCTCCCACACCCAAGCTCGAGATCGACGGCTCAGTATTCAAGGAGTCGATCATCTCAGGACTTGGATGTTAGCTCTGATGAGAGTATTCGGCACAGAAAGTCTCCTCGGAATCCCAGTACTCTTGGCAGGATACAACGTGGTTTGACTTCCCCCTCACACGGGCAGAAGAAAAGACAGACTTCCAAGCCCTTCCACCCAAGTCCTCTTGCGTTAAACAATGACCGGCGGCCCCAGCAAAGAATGTTCAATCAAACAACTGGACCCTCTCATAAAGATACAGCAGTTCTCAACAGCAACAACAACCACACAAACAAGGGGGATCATGTTCCCTTTACTAAGCCTGATGAGGATTGGATGAGACGTGAGGGGGAGGAGCTTATGTCTCCAGACAGCCTATCAGGTGAGGAAGATCTGAGTGTGGGCTCATTGCCGTCCCTGCCTGACGAAACAGACCCTGTGTTGGTAACCAGGCACAGTGTTGAGAAAGATTCTCCAGATCTGTTGTGGAAGAGTGGTAAGTACTGCATGTGAAACTTGATTGTTTTTAGATATAACTACAATTACATGTATATCTGTACTGATAACATCCCTCTCCCCTATGGTGCAACATCTTAATCCTTAAATTCCCATTAAAGTACCACTTTTCCATGAAGTTTATCCCTGGCAGTTTAAGGATGATTACCCGAAGCGTACTGGTTTAAACCCAAAAGCGATATTTCAGGGATTTCTAATGACCCCAACCTGTGCAGTACTGGCAGATTCGGAGTTTGTTACAAGTCTTTCTCTGCCCCTAATAGTACACATGCCAGCAACAGTTCATGAAGTTACCAGATTTTCACTGACGGCTAACAAGGGACATATCAAAGGGCCATAACACAGACTACTCATCATCTTCAATGGGTCGAAAACTCTGTGGCAGTGTTAGTTTGTGGTAAATCCGGGGAAAGGTGGTATATGAACGATTTGTCTTGTGATCAAGATGTTTGTAGTGAGAGACTGAACAGATAAGGTATTAATATAGCGACCACAATCAGAAACCATTACTGTGGTGGCAGCTTGTGCGTGTACAGTCGTGCATTTTTCATTTAATGCCTCTTAGACCTACAGGGTTTTGTAAACACTTGCCAAACTTAGTGCTATGCATTTACGAGTAGTACGGGAAACCAGACAACCCACAGGAGTAAGCCACAGCTACCCGGGTACCCACAAACTTTCAAACTGCCAATAAGAAGCTTCTTACCCGAAACTTTCAACGACATAAATGTGACCTGTCATTGCAAAATGAGCTGAAATTCAGAATTTTCAAAAAATTGAGAGTTTAGTATTTTTTAATTCAGCAGAAAAAGAGCTTTCCAATGGTGTATACATGGAACACTTACATGTAGGGTAAAAGTAGAAGTGATAATGTGACATTATACTGGCAGCTTTGTTTTTTTGTTCCTGACATTGTTTCAACATTTCAGACCAGGCTTCGAATAATGCTGTCATCTAAATTGATCAGACAATGACATTATTAAATAGATGATCCTCAGAAATATTTGAAATTAAATTGGAGACGGGTTACTCTTTCCAAATATTACAAAAACTCCAAAATTGACCTACATGTACACTTCAATATGACTTTGATCCCTCAAAATAAGAAAGAGTGGGATGCAACTTTACTCTCATTTTATTGTGACAGGTCACAAAAGTGAAAGCTGTTTTGGTATTCTATGTGGCCTCTTGTTTTGCCTTAAAAGTTCCTTGCAAAGATGCTTTGGAACGTGTAGTTTTACGGGTCACTAGTTCTAGTCCTGTAATTTGGAACTGGTTCCAATTGACATCATCAGTTGGGTGCTCAGGTAACTGGGTTTGATGCAAAGCCCTTTAGCCAAAATCACATATGCACCTCAAGTTTAAGAATGAAAGTGACATAGTATGTGAGCTGTCACGAAAGTTTTATCTCTCTTTGCAGAGATTATTGTGTGTTTATTGCATAAGGGAAGCTTCATATTTAAGGTAACATGCCCTGTTGCTCTGCTGATAGATTCCACCATTAAGATAAAGGCATGTTCTGAATATTCTGCTGCTCTTGTGGGAAGTCAGTAACAAGTAAAAAAGGACGAGATTGAGAAACCTCTGAAGACTTATAAGTTTGTTGTGGAACAAACTTATTTCATCAGTATTTATTGTACTTGTGAGCTACTGTGTAGCCGGCAAACCTACAGAAATCTGGAAAGCACTGTACTAATTGAAATGACTCATCTCATAGAGTGTAGCTTCCAGTTAGACAGTGTCTCTGCTGTGATGTGTTAGAGACTATTATCCAAGAAGACTCAATACTGCAGTTGGGCACCTTCTGTGTAAACTTGAAGTGCATTATGATGTACTTTTCCATATCTGTCAGCGATGGTACCCTGCACCTTCAAATAGTGATGGCTTTTAAGTCTGGTTGAAGGGTTAATCTGTCTACTAATCAGATGCTGTGTGCATGTATAAAGCCATATTTGTTGTCTGTGTAGGATTTGAGCAATTGCTCTCAAAGCAATCTTGCTAACAATACTGAAAACAAGTTGGAATTGATTGAGCAAGATACAAGTCAAAGGTATCGGAGTTGCATTCAGTCATGCTTGTCGTAGGGTCAACTGCGGCTTATGTTTTATGCACACACAGTCCTGGGTGTATGCTATAGCTTTTTTTTCAGTTGTTATCTCTACTTTTTGTGCTTTGTTGTCTTTAATGGGTTCAATTCATCGATTGATGCAGCTGATTTGGCTCTACACCTGGTGAGTTTCCATGGGGAGACAGACCCCCGCGATGACCAAGGGGTTGCCATGTAGCATCAGCGGCAAATGTTGATGTTCTGCCTCAGCAGACAACTTCCCTCACATGGTGGCAATGTGAAAGTCACTGTCCAATGTGGAAACTGAAGCTGCAGCTTTCCACAAATACAACCCCAACCACAAGCTGACAGCATCAAATCTGGAATCTTTGATAAGTGGTATTAAAATTCTGTTTATTCAATTTTTCATATCGACGACCAATAATAATAATTATTGTTATTATTACTGGTTTATTTTCATTGCAAAGTGAAATACAATTAAAACTTACATTAACAACAATGCACACACATTACATTAAATGAATTTAAGAAAACTTGAATTACGGGTATACTACAAAGGAGTAAGGTCGTGAACGAACAGACATTAAAAAATTACCATGCACTGAATTTTGGGTTAAAATAAACACCATTGACAATTAAAAATGCATACATTGATTATATAAATTAAGAAAACATAAATTGTACTACACAGAGAAAAAGATATAACAAAAACTAAAACTGGAAAAAATGTCCATCCACCTATTTAGGCCAACTGTTGGTTTAAACTTCTACAAAAATATGGCACTGGGCTGTTGTAAAGTCCGTTTTTTGAGCTGCTGTGTTTGTCAATGGTTCAGCAAGATCTGAGAGACATACTGTATTATAGCTCTTTTTTGATCCTGGGAACCACTGACTAAAATTACCAGACTTCTAGATTTTGAGCGCAAACTCTTGACACAAACTTGTCCGTCTATCAAAAAACGATATATGGAGCTTTATCCGCACTGGTGTGCTTGTTACCAAGAATTATTTGGAGAAACCTCTCAACCTCAAATTTCATCAGTTTGATGAGATGTAACACTACTATGCCAAACTGGGGCTGCATATTCAATGATTGGTCTAATGTAACCTTTATATACAACTAGAAGTTCCCCGGTGTAGTAAGGCCACACTTTGTTTAGTTTTCTGATCATAAACAATTCTTATTAGTTTTAGAAACCATTGGGTCAAGATGGGCTTGCCATTTCAAATTTTGTTGGAAGATGACCCCCAAGAGTTTAACCTTTGTAACAAGTTCTAGCTAGGAGTTAGATATTGTGTAGTTCACATCCGGTGGAGTTTTCTTGCCAAAGCACACTTGTAATGGGTGGCACTCAACAGGATTTAATGCCAGTCCATTACTTCAAGTCCAAGTGCTCAGACAGTTCAAATCTGACTGAATTGTGCTTCCACTGTCATATGATCTGTTTCTCCAAGGGTAAGGTCATCGACATATTTAAACCATTTGCTGTAAGCTGGCTCAAATGCATTGTTAAAGGGTACATGTAGCTGCAATCAGTAGTTTTGTTACAAACCTGTAAAATGCACCTTTGTGCCTTAGTAAACCTTATTTTCAACTGGTTTCACTATTTCAAAGGGTATTTTAATGGTTTTTGGTTTTGTGCCAATGAATATTTCCATGTTCATGAGCAAAACTGTAATGTCATCTCAGGAAGAAACCTCAATTTTACATTGGTTTTTACACAAAAATGTCCGGCATTTTTGTAGATTTTCCTTGACTAAGTTTTCTCGTTTTTTGCTGTTTCATTGTTGTTTCTGTGCATAGCAATAAGAAACCAATTCAATTACTCTCTCAGAGGTGCTTTCAGTTAGTAAAATCTGGGTTTACAATTTGAAGAGAAAAACCTATGGACTGATTCATGTCTTCCCTAGATGACGTCACAGCAACAACGCCCTCAATTGTCTGGGAAAACATGGATAATTTTGAATGCTTAAAAGTGTGGATTTTTTAATGCATTTCACTTCATGTGTGTGGAAGAGTTTTCATACATTTCAGAAAAGTACAAATATGCAGAAAAATTGTGTCGAAGAAAAATTCATTGCAACCACACTTTAATACAAGTCATAAAAATAGCTGATTACAATTTTGTTCCCTGCGGCATCTCTCCGGGATAGTGTTTGCACATCAGAGAGGACCTGTTTGTATTTGACCCTCTGCTTGCATTTCCTTAATTTAGAAAGCCCACAATCCAGTGAACAACAGCAGGGGAAACCTTCAGATCAAGAAGATTTTTAACAGCAATCTGATGATGATTAAACCTTCAGATCAAGAAGATTTTTAACAGCAATCTGATGATGATTAATTGTATCAAACGCTTTAGGAAATGGATCAGGATTAGGATCCCTAAATTATTTGTCACATTTGCACCCATGACCAAATGATGATAGATATCAACAAGACAATGACTTGTCGAAATACTCCTGAATCAATATTTGGTTTGACTGCACTCAAGCCCCATATGCTAATACAACCTTCGGCAATCTTGACTAAAAATGATGCGAGTGCTAGTGATATTGGTTGAAGTTTCTGGAGAGTCAGTGGTTAACCTTGGGAATGGGAACTACATGTACATGTACATCCACTCGTATGGTACCACGCCCTGCGAAAATGAAGTATTAATGATATCAGTGATGTAAGTACTCAACTCATATGCAAATTCTCTCAGGATGGCAGCAGGTACACTGTCAGGTCCCCTGCTTCTGAAATTGGTATGTTCCTCAATTTGTTAAAGATCCCCCGTGGATACAAGAGAGGAATAGCTGAGTGTTGGCAAGTAGGCTGGCATGCCATCTACATTGATAAGCTCTTGTGCTTGAGAAACACCAGCAAGCTCTTTACTAATAACCTTGGCAATGGTCTTAAAATTGAAATGATCAATTCCTTGGATATTGATTGTGAATTCAGATTTCCCCATATTATCGCAATGGTGAATCTGTTTGTGCCATTTGCCTGGGATAGTTTTTCGGAAGTTGCAAATTCTTTCATCATAATACGATTGTTTGGCTAACACCACCTGACGACGTTGTCAATTTCTGGGCCATCACAGACTCCAGTCTACCGGTGTGATCACCCACAAATAATTTTTCACTGGTTAAATAATTTATAGTACATGTAGAATGAAATACATGTACATGTACATAAATATGAGATTCAATAAACAAAAAATCATTGACACCTTTGTCAAAATGGACTTTTATTCAAGTCGCCAGTGCCACTTTTGAGTTAATGATATTTCTTCCTTTATGGGAAATCACTGATGTCTGTCAACATACTGACAGATGGGAACATGCATATTGAGCAGGATTAAAACTGTGTGACATATTGTCACTGTTTCCAGAAAGGGGTGGACATGTCGAAAAATGTCTTTTGATTTCAAGGTTTTTCTGTCTCGGATTATTCTGCATTGAAATATTGTTCTCAACTGTTGTCATGATTAATGATGTAAGGGGACAACAAACTCTTTCACTATGTTTGGTTTTGTCACAAAGGAAAGCAAACTGACTTCCGTTGACCATGTACAAATCTTAATTGCACAGACGATCATTTTCGTGAAGGCCGTGGACCGCTGTCTTTGTTACGTTCTCATCTGCACACACATAAACAGAATGCTATATCCTTACGGCAAAATACACAGCACAGAGGAACTGAAAAGTAAGCCAACTCAGACTTTTGTTTTTCTGAAGGGATAAGAGCATCTCCATTTGATTGGAGCTGCATTACCCTCAATTTCAATGGAATCACTTGCCCAACATGCAGTTTTCCTTTCAAAGGATCTCACAGTTTTTTCATAGCAGAAAGTTGTTGAAAAGCCGTTTTTCTCTCAGTTTCAAAAGAGAAGAATTTCTCCTGTGATTATCTCAATAGCGTGTTGCCCACAAAATTGACATGCCCATCCCTTTATTAAATCATCGATGATACATGTACATGTATCTTACACTAAAACAGAGTGTACTGTGTAGAATGCAGGGAAAATGACATTTTGACTAGTACTAAACAAGTCACAATGGTTTATTGGGGGAAGTAAAAGAAAAACTATGACAGGTTTGTCAGTGCAGGGAAGTAATGCCAACTGTTAATATCAATCTTTCTTGGGGGGTAGGGGGTATATGGTCGAAATCATCCAACTCTCCAGGACCAGATATTTTGGGACCCCCCAATGTTGCATCAAAATACTAACTTGATAGAGATTAGGTTATTGCTTCTCCTATATATAGGTATTTATTTGCTTCTGGTAAAAGCAAACATAGACTGCAGTGTGTGGTGTGAATTGGTGTGTAATGTATGAGGTGGGGGGGGCTCAAACAACTTTGTGTGTTTATGTATAGTACACGTACCTGCCATCTGTATGAATGATGACTGAGTATGTACATTTCGACTGATTACTGCTCCAGTTACTTACAGATGCAATTAGTTGTATTCATTTCAATTTTGGCCTCGGCGTGTTTTCCCCTGGAACTGCCGAAAATGATGGATTCACTTGAGATGGAGTAATGCTGAGTCTGGACAGGGCTTAATGCTAATGGGTTATTTGTCTTGATTGGCTTTGTGGGCATTGTGAAGGCATGGGTGATTTGCATGTGCATGCTTTTGCCCGGATGTACATGTAGGCATCGGCGTGGATTTAGGATGGCAGTTTAGGGATGGCGTTACATGATGCTGGCTTAGGGATTGTTGTTTTTGACACAAGCTCTGAAAGATTGTCTGTGGCGTACTGTACTTTGTCAGGTGGATAATTCAAAGGGCCCTGGCAGTGTGCTTGCACAGTTTGTGTTAATACTCCTATGTGTCCCATTAAACTTGATTTGTCAGTTGTTACATTCTGTGAGCATTTTGACACCTTTTAAAAAAAATTCTGTGTGAAAGTGGATATTTTTGAGCAAAGGTTTGATGTTGTCCAAGACTGCATTCTCTGGGCTAAAGCTTTTGCTGTATTTCAATTTTTCAGAATGGGGGTAAGTTTGGCGTCATCACCTGTGGTTAATTTTCGATTCCTTGTTTCAGTGTACAGTAAGCCCATGAGTAATGCATTTTCACAAATCTTTTCAATTCAGTGGGGTTCACATTTTAAGCAGATAAAAACTCTGAATGAGCTGTATGTTTCTGCCATAAAATCACAGCAGAAGAGCTGTCACTTCTCAGGAAAATGTAGATTTTTAAGGGTAACCTCCCCAAAAAGAGATATCATGTAGTTTTCTTACATTTAAGGAGGAGTAGAAGATTGTACAAAGCATGTTCCAAATTGAAATTCACTTCCTCTACCCTATAAATTAGAAATACTAAATCCCACCTCTAATGGAGTGCTCCACCTCAAAGCTCACTTTTGTATCATTTGTATCATCCAATGTGCATTAGCTTGTTGTGATGTTACCTCGTGCTTTGTAGTCTGTTGCCAACTTCATCCACCATTTTTGCATTTATTTAGCTACTGTTGACTGCTGCTAGGTAGACTGTGGTGTTTTAACACCTTTGGAGTGCACTGCAGTCTTTTGTTGAAAATGCTACATTGCTCACCGCATCAGTCAATAGCGTTTACTTTAAATCATCGATTAGATTTCCACTTCCCTTGGTCAGTAAACAGTAACAAAATAAAGATTTGCCACAACCTCTTTCTCAGTAGTTTATCAATTCTGCACTGGTTACCATGTGTCACTTTAACTTAGCTGCTTCATCAGTTTTTTTTCTTGTCTTCTTCCAAAGCACAAAGAATTGATGTGTACAGTGAAAAAGTCAGCATTGAGATATAGGTACATGTAAATGTTGTTCAGTAGTCTTAATGAGCAAAGCAACACCTCAACTGTGAACTGCAACTACTCACCAAGACAGGATTGCATCAGAAGGGTGAAGCTAGGCCTGACGAGTCCAGGGCTTGCTGGTAATATGGCTTGGCAACAAATGTAAAGACACATGATGTTGCCTAAATGCCATTGCTTTGTCACAAATATACTGGTGCATATTTGGGGTGGGTTTTGTACAAAGGGGTGAACAGAGCAATTTTACAGTATCTGCCAATAATATGGGGTAACTTCTGCCCAATAAGTCCAGGAGGATCGTAGGCTGCCATCAGTTTCTTCTTAATTGTGGCTTATTCTGTGATCTCCTTCATTACTTTCACTCTAGCAATAATTGATTAGTGTGGGTATTGAACCTGAGACCTCTTGAACACAAGGAGCCATGTGGCTTGTGACTAGTGCCCCCTGAACAAAGATGTTTATAAATTGGAAGAACTAACAACTTAAGGCTAGGTAGATTGGTTTGTAGAGTGCTGGTACTGTGTTCAGGGGATTGCAGGTTCACATCCTGCTCCAGTCAGTGTGTTTCTTCCCCTGATAGATTGTATTAAGTACAGTAACAGTTTCCCTGTATGGATTAATGAATCACTATTTTTGACCATCTGATGACAATTAACCAGTACCAGTTTGTGATTGGTTTTTATAATGTATACCGTGATCTTTATTCTCTTGACAGATCAGTCAGAAACTGAGCCTCCACCTCTGCCAGCTTCTGCTCCTCCTCAACTCTACGACTTTGAGGACTCTTCCCCCGATGAGGTGCTTTTATAGTCATTCAGCATCTTATCCTTTTAAAATCCACCAGAACGATATGTTCAGAAATCATGTCAGATCATTCTTTCATTACTGGTTCATGTCAGTGGAAATGAAGTGATTGCTTGGATTTTCCAAACACAGCCTTTAAATTGGCTTCTAAAAAATGCACACAGATGTCAAGTGTCGTAACATCCGATGTCAATGAAACAATGAAAGTGAGATTGAAAATGATTTCTTCAAGATCAGTGCTGCAGTTTCGACTATCATTTTGGAGTCTGAGTCTTCTTTGTCTGAGTCCGAATCCAAGTTCAAAAAATCTGATTTTTTTTTGGTGCCATTAAGTCCTCTGCACTCAACCTACCCAAACAGTAACTAAATATGCAAATTCCTTAGAGTTCAATTCTATTTGCTAAAAACTTGATCAACTGTAGTGTGCCTTCTAGGCCCATGATGCATAGCAGCACCACTGCCATGTTCATCCATGTTCGTCACTTTAGGGTCTGAGCTATAGTCTGAGCGGGAAGTATCCAAATGCTCAATTCCCTCATCTCCACATCACATTGCAAACAACACCAGCTCCCAAGCACTGAGGTCCAACGGTGGTCTCCCTACCAACACCAACGGTACGGACTGCCTCACACCATGAGCTGCTGCCTTCAGACAACCATTCCACTGGCACACCCAGGCGTAATCTGGATGCTACCCTGTCCTGGGCCGACACCCCATTACCTTCCAGGCGGCCCCCAAAGAGACAACGCTGGGCTACATGGGCACATCTCCACCCATGTCCCGGACAACGGAACTGCTGTGAGTCATAACCCATCCCACACAACAGCCCATTAAGTGCCCCATGCCTCGAACCGCAGTCCTCCGTCACTCTTCATTGGGGGCATCCAGGTGTGGGTAGACTCTACATACTACCGGACCGCCCCTGTGGTCCCGGTGGAAACAAGGTGGCCAATGCAAGCACAATGCAGACAACAGCCGTCAAGACCTCTGTTTGCGGTATGGTGCTCCATCGTCCACCCATTCAGGCCCACACCTCTGCCTCGATTGACCCCTCTTTCGGGCATCCAGGCATGCAGTAGATACCCTCCACGTGCCACCCTACATTCTTCGAGCAGCCTCTGGTGAATGTGAGGGTGGGTCACGTACACTCAATGCTGACCACTGCTCAAAGAACAGCTCCTATCACCTCACTATGCATCAGCCCGCCGGCCAGCGCCCAAGACTTTTGTGCTGGGGGCCACCTAGGCAGGAAACAGAAGTGTGCTATCCGGGCGACTCCCCACCATTCTGTGGGGCTATCCCGGTGAATACAACATGAGACTACGTATGACCAACCTACTGTGTGCAATCTTCCCACCACTGTTGCCTGTTCATGAATGCCTGCAGTAGATGAGTTGGCGCCTCACCTGCAGACCCCCCCCCCATTGACTGCCCCAGGGATCTTTCCGATGTCTGAGACTTCGTCATTGAGGGCACCCAGGTGTGAAACAGTCAACAGTGATCTCTGGGCAGGCTCTCCTCCATCACTGGCCCTGCTTTGGTGATTACACCATTTGAATCAGCATCTGAACCTCAGGCATCTAAATTTACCGAACTTCACACCGTCTTGGATTCCTCAAGCTCTTTTAATCTACTTGTTTTTGTTGTTTGTGTGCTATGTTTACTTGTTCCAACTGTACCTTGTGTTAGCAAAACAGCAAGGTGTTTTTGGCAAGGCCCTGTTCATTTCACCATTTTATGCTTGCGCTCATCGAGATAATGAAGAAAATGGGATATCAGGATACTTGTTTCTTGAGGCGATCATCTATATTTGGATGCTCCTTTTTCGACTTGCAATGTTTCTTTTCTTTCAATGCATGCGGCCTGACTTTAATAATTTTCCATACATGCATTGAAATGGCCGAAGTCCTCCAACCCAGGGACAGAAAGGGCCACTCTGAACATAGGACAAGGCTCATTTTTCAATTGTTTATGAGTGTTTCAACATTATTTTGCATGTCCTAAACTTATAGACTGTCGCTAAGTTACACTTCGTCCGATTACGCTAGTATTCCGGCAATAACTCTTTGTTTGATAAAGATGAAGTCAAACCATCTTTATCTAGCCTAAATGGAATCTTTCGTCACAGTCTCTGATTTATTTCATCGTTCTCTCATCCGAGTACCTTCCTTTTTGCACTTAAATGGGGATTTCTCCCTGCTCTCCAGCCCCCACTTTCAGTCGTACCGAAAAAAGAAAAAAGTCACCTCTATCTTCTAGGAATTCAGAAACTATCTGGAAGCCACAATGGATTCGGAGGACGAACACTAGGACAATTTCTTGTCCCCCTTTGTGTCACCGTCTGGCTCCACACTAGTCGAGTCCTGCTCTGCCCTCTTCTCAACCCTCACGGGCAGTACGGGAAGATGCAGACCCGAAGGTGATGTCAATGCTGCCTCCTTTCCCTTGCATCTGACACCAATGACTACACCACTTCTTAAGTGGCCTCAATGCCTAAACTTACAGTAGTAAGGTTCCAGCAGACGTTGCACCAGTCAGACAAATACCTGTGTCTGCCCTTTCGGCTGACTACTTGGATTCATGTCTGCCCCTTCCTTTGGCCCAATTCATGATTGAACTCCAATCTTCATTGATAATTATTACATATGGATGGAGTTCATTCTACATTAACTCAGCCCCTGTCAGATTCAACTCTATCTACGTCAGAGGAACTCCTGAGCTTCGACTCTGTCACTCTGTCAGTGTCCTAGGAGTCCTCACCTGCACAATTTTTACCGCCTACTTTCACCAACTAGCCTTTCCCTCAATCAAACACTTTGGCAACTGGCCCTTTGTACACAGAGCTTACTCTGGCATCACATGTAAGCTTACTAGACGTCCTGGATTTTGAAACAATCTCTTGATTCATGTTTTGTACATTCTCCGATTTAACTGAGTTTGGCTCTCGTCCTCAGCCCGGGCAATTTTCACAAGAGCTTATTTTCGGCCTGAGGGGAGAGCCTGGTAGACCCGGTTCCTCTTAGTCATCTTTATGAGGTCCCACTTACTAACATTCTCCTAGCCCAAATGTGACTCAACTATCCTCCTTCCATACACGATGGACTTCACCCAGTCACCTCTTGTTGGCAGTTGAAACCAAGGATGGACCCTTACCTTTTGGTTTCTACTGACCCTTCTCAAATTTCAGAATACCTCCGTTCCTGAATCTTCATATTTCAGGAACATGAGTGCTTTGGTTTTCACACTGTCACTTCAACAGATAAATCCCAAGGAGATACTTACTTACTACACCTAGGCCCTCAAGACAAGTTAGAAATTCCTAGGAGCATTGGCCTTTGGGATTAACCTGAAGACAACCCAAATCCCAAAATTAACACCCCCTTTACAGGTGTCTGCTCTCAAAGAAAGATTCACCTAGTAGAGCAGACTCTACCCTACAACGTGACTGAGTCAGTCTTTAGATGTGCTTGACAAGCTAAATACTGACTTCACTGCCCGACAGAATACTTAGTTGTGATGTTCTGCACCAGTCTTCCCTTTCTCAAAGGTCACAGGACCCCTTTTTGTTTTCAGCAGGGTAGAGTTGCTCGTCCATGCACCCCTCCCCGTTACCTCTGATTCTGACAATTCGGCTCGAATTGGACTGGATAGATGTCTTTCATGCCATTTGGGCCTTACAACCCTGGTGCAGCATTTATCCAGGCTTCTTGCATACACCTATAACAGTAGTAATCAGTTCTCTGTTCATGGTGTAACGCAGTAGCTGATTCTTCACTCCTTTGTAACTCGGAACTGCAGTCAGCAGTAGCATGTAGCTACTGCCTGCAGTCACAGCTACCCACTGTGTTTCCTCCAGATACTCTGACAGAGGGTACTCTCTTCCTGGCACGTTCACTCGATGTTCGTTCCAACCAGTTCATACCCGGTTGGGACCTGTGGTGTGTCCTCGAGCCCTTCCAAGGTCCTCCTCAGAATCCTTCACACAGGCCTCATTGCCACACATATCGGTGAGGCTGGACTTTCTACTTCCAGTAACTAATTCTTTCCTGGATTGTAGTCTGGTGATTGTATCTGTTACAAATTGCTCCTCAGGGTAGTAATACCACGGCGTCCTTTTCATCCACAGCATAGACTACTGCTCAAACCGTATTCATTCTCTCCTCACTGACAAGACAACTTCGTCTGTAATGTCATAGAGTACTCCTGCTCTCCTAATTACAAACCTTGCTGTTTGTCCTTAATCCTCGTAATGATTTCTGTTCCGAACTATACGCTGAGAGGTACTGTGATTCTTCTCTTGCTATCACCCTGTTACACTTCACCTCCGGCTAGTCAAGTTTCTTTGGCCATTAGATTCACCTATCCTGAATGGCTAACCTTCACACACTTTAATCTCAGCCACCCTATCGTGATGCATGTCGCTAGGGTGGCATACTTTGGCAACATCTTTTGGCAGTGTCCTTTGGAAGTTATCTGCGTGACAAATGCTAGAAACTCTATGGCCTTTTACCTCTTGCTAACTTAATACAGTTTCGTAATAAGTTCTTTCCTGGCGCCTGTACACTCACCTCTTCACCAAGAATACAACGATCCATACTTCATGAGGTACCTTTAGCTCTACACTGTATCCAATGGTCTCCCTTCTATGGTAGACCCTCATCATTCCACACTTTCAGTGTGTCCTCGCCTACCCTACCCTCCTCTTGGGTACAGTGCTACTCTGCATATTTAGTGACTGTTTGGGTAGGTTGAAGTCAGTGGACTCACGGCAGTGTGGGAAGAGTCTGCTAACGAATACCTACCCAAACAGTCACAGCCCTCCTGTCCTCCCCTCACCGGCACGGGCCTCAAACTCCAAAAAAAGATTAACACAGCAGTGGTGGCACTATGCATCATGTGCCTAGAGGGTGCGCTACGCTTGATTAAGCATTTAGCAAATGGAATCGAGTGCAAAGGAATTTGCATATTTAGTGACTGTTTGGGTAGGTACTAGACTCTTTCCACACTGCTATGGGGGGGAATTTGTTGCTCGGGGTTCATTCACTGTGGGTGACCATGTGTTGGTTCATGTGATTTCATGGGACCATTTCATGTCAGTGATCACATCAGTTTGTATGTGTCCCTGCTTTCATTGCACCCTTCAGGTCACAACATTGCCACAGTCACCAAGTTCCCCTGCAACTCCCACCCCGCCCATGAGGCGGCGTTCAAGAGCCTCCTCCATTGATGTCAAAAAGGCAGATGCATCAACTCCTCCACAATCTGCTCTTCAGAGCATCTCCGTAAACAAACCTCACCCAGCTACAGCCCTCCATGATCCTTCATCAAATCACCAGTCATTTCCTCCCCAGCCAACTAGGCCTGCACCGGCAGTTGCTCATCACGGCCCGTCTTCACCAGCCCTTCAGGGACCTGGTGATGCCTCACATCAGCCCCCGTCACCCAGTTCCTCTCCCATCCCGGGTTCCCATCATCACCCTTCACCTCATCATCCCCATATATCCATCTCCCACACCATTGCATATGAGCATCCAAGAGGACATCATTCTCATTCTGCCTCATCCCAGCAACACCCGTCTCATAGATACCAACACCCCACTCCCTCTCAGAAGCAGCCATCACCCAGGTCCCACCCTACCCAACCTCAGCAACCCAGGCGCCCTGCCCCAGCTTCTCCAATCACTGTGACTCATGTAGAGTCCTCCCCGGCACAGCCCCGTCGGGCAGCACCCCAGTTCTCCCCTAGGGCTCATCAGGTGGACAGGGTCACAGCAGAGCCCCCTCCACCCATCCAACTAACAAGTCTGAAAGGGGGTCACCATAGGCCTTTCAAGTCCTCACCAGGCCAGGACTCCCCGAAGCTGAAAAGGAACAAGATATTTGGAGGTCTATTCAAGAAGAAGTGATGTGCCGTAAAGCAAAACATCCTTAATAATTCATTAATTTTAACTTTGAAATATAGCATTCAGGATTAATCAGATGATGTCAACTTGATCTTAACTGTTCATGAGATTTCTCGAGAGCATAAAGACTGATGTACCAAATATGGCCTTTTTAGCAGAATTTGTTTCCGTACATGAATCATTCAAATATAAAAGGACTTTAACCCTGAAGGTTTGGTGGTGCACACAAGCATTAGTTCATAGGCTTGGCTCTGGCAGTACAAGATATATTTACCCTTGAAAACGGTTTCTAGGCATTTAAAGAGAGTAAAGCTCAGCAAAAGGTGTACAAAAGACAATAATGCCCAGTAAGACGTTAAGTGTTTCCAATCAGATTGTGAAGCTTCACTCAATATTAGCCAAGCGTTTACCACACACTTCTAAATCTGACATGCTCTCCCTCATAGTCTTCACTGAAAGGAATACTTTATTTGCTTTGCACAGCCCCACTAATGTGCTTTACATTTTCTAACCCATTTGCGTCATGGTTTGTGAGTAAAGAGCCGTGTACACAGAGAGTGTCATTGTATTTTTAACACGATGGAGTGAGTCGATTGTTGAAACTAACCAGTTGCTGCTGGCGTTACAGATGCACTCTGCAAGGCTGACCAGTCAGCGCTGCTGTAACATTTAAGGTAGACCTGCCCAACGAGCCCCTTGTGCTTGTGGCGATATTCGTTAACTTGTTTCTTCACCGAAGAGTTGTTTCTTCCCCGTTAGTCGTGGCTTATTGCATTTGGGCTGATATGTTACAGGAGATGCATGAAATCTCCACTGCTGCATACGAACCTTTTTTTTTCTGTTTCTCATTACAACTGATAGGCCTGATATGAATCATTATCATTTTTGTTGCCTCTGCTGCCGGTGCTGTCATGGGGTTATCAAAACAAAATATGGAAACGTAAACCCAAAACTAGGACAAGACAATCAAGACTGTATGGAGGTTTGGGAAAAACACTAGGTAACTGAAGCAGCAGACTACAATCATTGTACAAATATTAGCCTTCTTATAATTCCAGTTGTATGGTATTTGGACGTGATTTGAACCCCTGACGTGAGGGAAGAATCACCAGTGTCGAACGGGGGAGTGTTTGCTAGAGTACATGTACTAGCACAGGTACTAGCATAGGTACTTGGAGAAGCACTTAGGCCTAATTAGAGAGCAGGACATTGCACCACCCATTGAGTACCAGTAGAACTAAACAGATGGGAATATTTGGCACAAGTGAATAATGAGTACTGTAAAATCCGAGTGCTGCCTCAAGTGTTGTTGTGATTCTATAGTATCTCGATAGTGTGGTCACAGACTTGCCTCTTACAATTCAATAGATGCCTATCGTCCTTGCTCGGTTCTCTGCATTCAGTGCCATTCGTGCTCTTAGCAAGGGAAAAACAATATTTCTGGTCTTCACGTCCCCAGCGACCATTTCAGTTTGTTCGGTGGCATGTAGAAACTTAGGCTAATAGTTACATCGTTCCATGACATTGTTCTGCATGTCCGCCCCTAACTTCCCCAGTGGAGCCTGTCCACAAAACACATTTCGCCATATGAAGGGTTTTGTGGAAGTCGGATAAATGAGCCTTTCCTTCTATTTCAACTTCTGTTTGTGTCCCCTTCTTTTTTGGAGATCCAGCCCAGTGATGGTTGCTGGGATATGCAATAATAGTGATGTGCTTCGTGAACTTGCGCACAGAAGCTATTTCCAGATATTTTACAGAGTGGTATTGAAGTATTTTGCAAAGACTGACCTGGCCTTAATTTCAAAGTGTGCCGTTGGAGCTTTAAGCTTAGATCGTAGAGTGTGCACCAACGTGTCGGCAACTGTGGCATGGGTCGGTCGTGACGAACGCTAGATTTCCGGGCAATTCAGTGGGGTTGAAGGGAAAGGTTAGCATACAAACATGTCGAAGGGTAATACGCATACAAAAATTCCCCCAGCCTAGCGTGTATTGCATCCAAGAGGGTTATTTTGGGGAACTTGTAGCAGATAGTATATTGTCCATATAGAACAACCTTGTTGAATCTTGCATTAAATATCATTGATGACTCAGAATGTTACTCAGTACATTTGTTCTGTGGAATGAAGTTGAAAGCAAAGTTTTGATTTGAAATTCTGTTTGAAAAGTCACATTCTTGTGGAAGTAATCAACATTGCTGTTTTTATTTTTTACGCTTCTGTTCGCTGCAGTATGTAAAATATTCGTGTACAGGTTTGCGTAAATACCTTGAATGTGTTTTCATTTTTGCATCTTTTATACATTAATGGATTTTGTTTGGCAGAATTATTCAGGTTCTGAGATTAATGTACAGCTTTACTTTGCAATTATATTTCCTGCTGAATTTTCTGTTTACGCTACTATGGTATGCACGCTTTCACCGTGGGGAATGGTTTCAATGAATCGCTGAAGTATAAATTGTAAATGGCTTCTGAGTTTCATAGACAGTGGATTATTTATACATGCAGCTCATAAATGATTACTTTTAAGTTGGAGGCTGAAGATGCCAGAGTGTTTTTTCCAGGAGTCCACTGAGTAGATCTATGTATATTGCATCGGTTATATTATTGATCTTCCGGCCGTCTGCCGTAGTTCCTTCTTTAAAACGAGAGGTGAAAATGGGAGGAAAACTAACGAACTCTAAACAACCCTCAACGTTTAAACAACACGGAAGGAAAACCTCCCTTGGGAGATATTGAAATTGTAAAATTGAGGTATATGTATCTTTTTAATAATTGAAAGATTAACAAAAGAAACGACTGTGTGCCGTGGAAAACAAACTTCTGATTGTTTTGTAACAAGTCGCTAGCTTTTGTGACTCAAGTTGAGTCATTGTAACGCGTGACTCGAGTCGAGTCATTCGGCAAGAAAGTCGAGTCAATTACTTAGCTGGAGTCAGTTCGAGTTACAAATATTGAGAGTAATACGATTCATAAAAGTGTAATGAGTAAAATGTGGTCAAACCACATCTTACGCTTGATGGAGTATCACTGTAAGTTACTGCAAATATTTTGTAACAAAGAACTTTGCTTTTATTTTTGGGACGATGAGGGACTCGAGTCGAGTCACAAATTACTCGTCGGAACTCGAGTCTGCAAAATTGTGACTCGAGCCGGACTCGAGTCATTGACACGAGTCAAGTCATTGACTTGGGTCAACCCCCTGAACATGTTACCGTTTGTGGGATGCATGCCTTCATCTTGTTTTACATCTGAACAAAGCTTTATGAATGCATGCATAAAAGACTAGTGAACCACAAGTACATTGCCAGATTTTTTTTCTGTGATAGTATCGCATGTCATATTACTATTGGATAAGCAAGAGCTTCTACAGGGCGCTATCGCTGAAGCAGCGTTGTTAAATTCAGAGGCAACGAAAGTGCAGTTGGTGTGCTGATGCATATCACAGGCGAATTAAGCCCTGCCCTTGGTTAAAAGCAGACGACTGCGGATAGGTCTATAACCTGTGTCACTTGAAGCCCGCTGTGCTCATGCGACTGTCTTCGTCAAGGTGTTGGATGTCGTGCACAGTGATCACTGGCAGATTCCTCCACCAAGGCTAGCGACATGACACCTTGCACCATACATAGCTCTGCCTTGAACTTTTGGCAGATTCCTCCACCAAGGCTAGTAAACCAGCCAAGTCCGAAAGGTGTACGGCGGACTGTAAAATCTGTATTAGAGTAATGCAGTAACTATTTATATTTTCATCAGTACCGCATGGAATTCTGAAAAGAGTGTTGGTATTTATTTACATTAACTGTGCTGAACATATTTCTCCGTTTTGATCTATTTTGGTAACCAGTTATTTGAATCTTTTATTACGATCTTACCATATATAGTTACCGTATTTAACGGATTATTTACAGTGATATTTCCAAGTCTGTATTTGCACGCCATTTATTTTGTAGCGCTGTACATATTTTATAAACTTTGTTCTTATAACATTCCATTATTTACATTACGTCCGTCTCTACACTTGTTGTATCAGCAGTTTTTTATACCTTTTTATGAGCAGAACGTGAAGAAATGGCTGAAATGACAGTGATACTTATTTAGTAAACAAGCTTTGTGCAAATCAATGGTGATGCTAGTGTGGATTTTAAAAGGCGTCGCCTCGTAACGACTCAGCAAGCAATTGGAAACGGTCGCCGACACTTTGTTGAACGACTGCGGCCTCTTCTAGCGAGAGAAACGATGCTAACGATGCGCATTTGCGTCGGTTCTTAGCCTTTCTTGAATCCGTCCCTGACAAAAACAGCCAAGTGCAATTATCCGAGAAGCCACAAAGCGTGCCTTACTCCCTTTGGTTGGCCTATGAAGTATACTGATGTAATGATGACAAGAGGCGACTCTTACTGGTCAATGTGTGATGTGCTTTCAAATACAGGGAAGCTTTCCCATAACTTCCTGTGCCTGTATATTTTTCAAATGTTAAACTTTATAATGTTAACATATAATGTTTTTTGTATACTTCACTTTTTCAAGAGACCATGAAATTGACGTTCAGTGGTTTGCGTTTGAAGTAAATCTCTGCACGTGTAGTGTTACCTTATATTTGTAGTGAGCTTTTTTGCGACGTGTTCCTTTGCCCTTTTCTGGTCGGCGTTCATTCTAATTTTATTTTTTTTTCAGTTTCGAATCAAATGTTTATTTTTCCGTTTTGTGTTATTCAAATAGTATGCTATATTGTAGATTTCAATTTATTATTACTGTTCTGAAGGATAAAGTAGCCACATACTTAATTCAATCAAGGACAAAGTTTCAAGCCCTGTTTGGATCCTTCTCTGATTAGTGATTGATTATACCAATGCTTTAATTTCCCAGCTCTCAGTGGAGTCGATTGTGCTGTTTGTGATTTTCATATGCCTGATTGTACTCTCATAAATAATCGTTGTTCGGTTACCTGGTTAGTGTTTAAGTACCCAACCCGTTACATCAGGCACTTTGCTCCCTCATTAGCGTTCGAGTTTACTCAGAATGAATATGTCAACATCGCCTCTGTGCAGTCGAGACGGCAGAAGCTGGAGCCGCTGCATGAACACGCGTGTCCCGGCCCATGGGTCAGGGTATGTCATGATATGTCATTGTCCAACGCGTGGCCGCGCGGCTCCTCAGTGTGCAGAACCAATTTCGCCATCGGCCGCACTAATGTCATGCGCAGAGAGGAAGATGTTTGGCAGATGCACCTCCTGGCACTCAGGTGGGGAAGACTGAAATGCCAGGCTCTGCTGTCGTGGGACACGTTGGGAAAAAAAAAAGCCTGCACCGCCGAGGCGCACTGTTCTGATGTGATGGTGACTTAGAAGATTAAATCATTTGTTCGTCATGTCTTTCCTGTACAGGGGAGGGGCGTCTGTAACCGAAAGGTTCACTGACTAAGGGGCCGTTCAAAATTTCTGATGTTTTTAAATTTTGTAGAAATTGTTTTGAACCACACACCCTCCCACCTACCCACCCTCATTTTCGATTAAAAAAAAATGATTGTGTTCAAGAGCTCAGCGACGGTCAAGCAGAAAATCAGGTTTCACTGAACCGATGAAAATACGTGCACTGAAACCTCGACATAAATAGATGAAATTGAAAAATACCAGTATGTAAAGAGCAATATCATTTTGTGAACTAACTTGTGAAACCTTTTTTTTTTTTTTTTTCATGTTTTCGGGTTGTCAAAATTCAGAATGTCTCATGTTGTCGCTGGGGGTCACTGGGTCCCGTTCATTCCATGTCGTTCTCCCTCCCTCTAGCGGTAGGAACTACTTCACTGTGCATGCATCTCGTGTGCTTCCACGCAATTTGCGCGATGCAAGTTGCTTCACGTTTGCGTGAAAGCCTGCAGTTGCAAAGTACCACTAACGGCGACCATTTTGTATCTGATTTCATGCACCCTCATCTACACGAACATTTAGGGACAATTTATTTTAGGCGACACATACAATAATATACAATTTTTTTTAGACGACACAAACAATGCGTTCGCCGTCAGAATAGGCCGGGTATCACACGGATCGCTGGCGCGGCGCGCGTCATTTACGCGACTCAAAATATCGATTTGTTTTTCCTTTTTTTATTTGAAAATTTCGATTTTCAAAAATTTACCTTGAGCCACCCACCACTATTTCGAAAAAACACCATAGAAAATTTTGAATGGCCCCCAAGTCAAATCAAAGGTCAGTACTAACGATGAAATGCGTCCTAGGGAAATTTCCTCTTGCAAACGCGTGTACCTCTTAGGCCAATGAACTGCTTTAAATGCTTACTGTTTTTGACAGTGAAAGTTGCACACTCGCTCATTTATCGTCCACATACACCTCCAGAAAGATATACGTATTTTCACCCTAAAAGAGCCGGGGGGGTTGTACCCTGTCGGAGCTGAAGGAAGGGGAGGGAATCTACCCTCAAAAACTCGACCGTCAAAACTCAATCGTTTTGAAACTTACTTGAGTGTCAAGACACTAATTAACAGTAATTTTAAACGTGAAATTTCAGATGGGGCTTTGATATTTGAAGTTCAAAAGATGGTGTGCACATCATTGGTGTAAAAATGACCGCAGGTTGTTACTATAAAAAATCCTTGGGGTTCAGCGCGTGGAAAAAAGCACTGCGACGATATTGGAGAAAATGTTGTAGGGGCGGATTCCACCCCCGGCTCTGTTAAGGGCTTACCCCTTAACTGGCTCCAAAATTCCGCCCCTGAGGTCCTTTTGCTCTAGTTTAGGCAAAGTGGGATCCAAAATGCTTATATTAAACCTGCCGCTGCTGATAACAACGTATGTATTGCCGCTCTTTCATCCGATAGAATTTTATTTTAAGCAGGCGCTTTGTCCGCCCCTGCCTGCATGGTTTCCAGTCTTCCTCTTTAATTAAACAACGGTACAAAATGTTTATACCAAAAGGTACGTTTTTACCCCCCAAATTTTGGAACATTGAAATAAGTTTAATGTAAAATTTGGCTAAGCATTAATTGCAAGTGTTCTACCAATAAATATATTTGTTCTGATTTATACAATCCATAAATACAGCCATCATAAGAGAAGAACTTATCACCAATCTCTGAGCTACACATTCCATGCCTATGAATTCTGATGTAGTCTGATTTTTTTTTTCAAAGTAGACCGTAAATATTAGGCCTATTCCACGGCTTGCTGTGTAAGATGTTCCATTACCCATTGATTGGCTACAATACGAATATAGTGTACAGTAGACGACTTTAACCCCCTAGGGAGTATGTAAAATCATATTAAAATCGGGGGGTTGGGAAGTTGGGTGTACATAAACATGACGGAATACCTTTGCTTGAATATCATCCAAACATTCCCCGTATCAGAATAACATTAACATGTTGCGTTTGACATACAAAATAGAGAATAGGGGAGAAACAGAGCGGTTTACTTTTACCGGTGAACACAAGTTTGAAATTGTTCCAGTTTTTCATTTGAAAACGCATGTTTTATCATCCAAATTTCGGCTATTTTGTTGACACAAAGCCAAGTCATATCTCAATAACAAAATATTACACCGTTGATGCATAACAATACCGGTACTGTTAGTTATCGTTGAATCTGCCCTTTTACATTACAGGGGAAAAAACACTTTGTACTTTATTGAAATCGAACTTTGGAGTCTTCCCAACTCTTTCTTCTTGCATGCACACAAAACAAAACCCAACAAATGCTGCTGTCTGCATCAGGCAGCATCAACATTATCTCCATGGCACTCTTTTTTTTTAATCCGAGCGTAATTTAATTTCCGGTCACACGAATCAAAACGGCGAGGAACGTGCGCGGAGGCATGCGTTACACTACATGCATTAAAATCTCAGCCATGTCAAGTCCGAGTGCCGGGATATCGCTCAATGTCAGATCTTTTATTTCGGCCCAGACAGAAGTATAGACGGGCAAAACAATCAATTTCTGTTGCCGTTGCGCCAAAATGTAATATATGACGTAGTAATCGTATCCGCGACATGTGTTAAAGCTCGATGAGTCTGAACTGAAGCTACCCGCACAAATAAAACACAGTAACAACAATAACACATTGTTTTGGTTCCGAAGACACCAACAGTACTGCGTAAAGTCTTGACATCTGTTATTTTCTGAAGTACTACGGAAGGAATTTCGTAGTATAAACACAGGTGTAGTGTGTCTGAGTTTTTTTATATTCAGTTGCAAGCGAGCGTGATATTTCAATGCTGCAATTATTTGTGATAATACAGACCTTCAAAATGTGTCTCAGATAACCTTATTTCAAAGGGTATTTTACTGCCTTTGGGCATTTGTGTTAATGACTGTTTCTATATTCATGAGCAAAACTGTAATGCCATCTCAGGAAGAAGCCTCAATGTTACATTCGTTTGTACGCAAAAAAGTCCTGATTTTTTGGTAGATTTCCTGGACTCAGTTTTCTCTTTGCTGATTCATTTTTGTTTATGTGCGAAGCAATTAGCAAGCATTAATCCCTCTCTCAGATATATTGGCAGTAGGTAGATTCTCAGCGGGTTCATACTTTGAACGGAACACTTATGAACTAAACCGTGTCTTCCTTGGATGACGCCACAGCAACAGCGCCCTCGGTTGTCCTGGAAACCATGGAAAAGTGTATTCTTTTAAGACGTGCACTTTTCAATGCATTTAACCTAATAAGAATGCAAAAGAGTTTTCATACGTTGAAGAAGTATACAAAGTCGAAGAAAATTGTTTCTAACAAAAAAATCCTCACAGCTAGTATACTTTAACTAAATACCAAATATAAGTATAGGATTGCATATCAAACGATATATTCATCCAGTCCTGCGTATGGCGCTGGATGCTCCTTTCGACGTGTGCCGGAATTCCCAGCATTTTTATTACCCCAAAAAATTCAGTGCTGTGCCTCACTTAAATGCATAATCCTATCCATGAACTGGATTAAGAAGAAAACCTGGTAATTGTTAATGTTGACACAATTTACACACTTGTAAATTCGTGTCGTCAAACTTTGATGAGCCAATCGGAGCAGGAGTCACGGGGAAACAAGACGCTGCAGAAGGCTCTCCTGCCTGGACATTTTTCGCAGTCTTAACCTTATTGATTTTCTATCATGTTTCCTGTATCTACTTTATATGTTTTGAAGCGCTGAATGGAATAGCAGCATGCCAGACTATTTTGCGATTGAAGTGCGGTCCAAGACTTTTCTTTTTCAAAAGTAGCTCAAAAGTATGTTCCATCACAAAATGGTTCACCAGAGTAGAAAGATATTTTGCTTTCACTTTTCCCGAGTTCGAAAACCGAAAAATATATACCTCACTTTCAAGTTACCGTGGCCGACTCGTGAGAGGCCGGTGACTCTTCCTCGTTAGGAATTCTTTAATCAAATGTACACACTTGCACTTCACGCATGTCCACCAGAAAATACCATGCCATGCAAGGGGTCGAGATTTTTGTTACATATAATAGCCATTAAGATAGTATACAGCTCCACGTCCTGTTTTGATACTAAAAGCTGCCATTTCATTCGGCCACTGCCATATCGTTCTCATATACTCTCCTCATGTGCTTCAAGGCAAGATTGCTTTCATAACGCAGGCAATGCAACTTGAGATATAGGGCACATTTACTATTTCATAACGACCATCAGGGACCATGACCGCGCGCACTATTGGGGCAATTTACCACGCGAGAATTCTAAATGAGCTGCGTTTCAAGACGGCATATTCCCCCAAATCATAATTATGTCCCATGCAAACACAATGCGTCGAATCTCCGCTAGTGCAAAAGATGGGATTCCTATCATACAATTATGCGGTTTCTCTGCAAGTCAGTGTTACTATTGCAAACTGCGTTAACAGCTTTGGTGCTTCGACACTTTGAATTCTCATGGCCAATTTAAGGCTCGGCATTGCTTCCTTTTTTCTTTTCATACTTCGTCCGCGTCAAATCAAGCCATGTCAATGTCCCCTGATGCTTACCCTTTGTAGCGATGCACATCATGCAGCGCTATCCATTGACACTTTTTTTCAAAAAGGAAGCCACAAGCAGTGTTACTTACATATCCTTTCCAAGCATCTAACGAACAATTTGGTAAGCCCGAAATACATTGACACCTACATGACGTTGTAAGGAGGAAGGCAATTTGTTCGAAGCTCCACTTTAATAATACCTTGTTCTATTTTAACTTAAAGGAAAACACTGTTTTTGTATTCCAGTATACATATCTTGTATCCAGGGTATTATTCACTTAAAAACCTTTGCTCAAGCTGATTTTACTTAATACTAGAAACCGACAGTTGTGACTTTTAATTTGGACGAGGAGCAGATTTATACATGTAGAACGGTGTTATCAAAAAGCATCTTCACATTTTTTCTTACCAAATCACATCCGTAATCTTCAATCAAACTGTTACAAAGAACTCACTTTGATAGACCCATCCTCATTGTGATCGTATGGGTTTTGAATGTGATATAGGGAGATAGCAGCTATTACCATAGTTACCTTAATCCCCCTTTCCCATCAGAGAGCATTGGTTCTATGGTGGAAGTTGGATATGTCTTGTTATTTACTTGGTTGAGTTTGAAGTTTTCGCGAGCCGGGTCTTTTACGCGTTACATGCCTCTTCGACCAATAGGGTGTCGTAATTTGCCAAACGCACGCGCGCGTTCAGCTGAAGAATGTGCGTGTGAGTGCGGTGCCACCGCAGTTAGGGTGTCTTGTCGGATTAGTCTATAGCGCTACCCTCTCAAAAGAGTACCGTACAGCTTGCCATGGCTCGTTCGTGATGTGTGGCCATTGAAACAATTCATTAGTTTACGGACATACATCAAGTTAAGTATAAGCATTGCCCATCAGTTGAAAGTCTTGCTATAAAGCCCTTATAATGCGTTAAGGCACTTCAAGTAAACCTGCATGAACGTTTGAGAAAGAAAACGTTATCATGAGTTGAAACATTTACATCTAATATACGCGGAGATCTGAAAGGCGCGCAATGAGGAACAGGCGAACATTTCATAGTTTAACATGACAGGTAGCTTGGCAGCAGCTGTCAGTTCAAACAATACCTGTACTGCGTGACGAAAATGCGTCACTAATCTCTGAACTAACTTGCCCTGTCTTGTTATCTATGGAGAGTAGACATCCGATCGGGCATTTTTTTATATTCTTTTTCAACCAAACATATTGTGATTAACGTAGACGCTTTAATTTTGTTTAACTGCACTTTGAATAGAAGTTACGGCCAAAATACACTATAAAAGTTGTTCGAAAGTCAACCACAGGTTGCTCAAACACAAGCTTCTTTTTTGTTCTCTGACTTCCATGTTTGGTTTATATACAGCTTGGTACAGTCGGATCGACAAACCTGATTACGGTATATGTGGATGGCCAAAGAGGAAACACTGGGGGTGTTTAATTTAATTTTGTTACGAACTCAACATTGACAAAATAAAACGCAAAAGTTCCCATTATTATCAAAAATACACTGTGTGTCGATTCCGACGAGCATTTTTCCGAGCCATTGGAACAACAGCAATTTTAAGGGGAATTATGAAAAGGCCATGACGAATTGACACATGGCGGCATTATGGGATGAATCATAGCTGAAATTCCGCATTGCTTATTTTCTTCCAGTGGCTGGGCTGTAAAATTAAAATAATTCATCCGGTTACAAAGACATTTATTTAGTATTTGGTAAAGACTATTATTATAAACAGTATTGGCCTTAGAATGTTCTTAAATGCAATGTGGAGGCACAGAATAAAGACTACATAAATTGCATTGTTTGTGAGCACAGTGACAAATTACTGTAGTTTGTTTCTTATTCACACTTTAACGATTGCCATCTGTTATGCAGCATAGCGGCATCAGCATAACAACATCTTGCCCTGATATGGAATGTTATCGAAAATTTTTACACACATACGCGCAGCTACTGTAAACAATACAGCAGATATTCAATTTCAGGGGCTTGACTGTAAGTTTGTTAGAGTTTCTATGGTGAATTATTAAATTGAGATTGACTGTAGCCCCGGCAACAAAAGGAATGTATTCTAACACAAAGAGCTCAAATGAAAGAATAGTGCAGGGCACTTCACCGCTCCATCTTCGGTAGACGATGAAAATGAACGTAATCACATTTTCAAAAAAAAAGTACCCCACAAAGGTGCAGATGAAACCGCACGAAATTTCAAGGTAGTCGGCCAGGAAAGAAGAACGACCACGTAATTGAAATGCGACGGATTTAATCGTTATGCAGAAGAGAGCTTTACTGAATGAAACTATATGTAACGACTTACAATGACAGTGAGTATCCAAATGCCTTGAGGTTTGTGGGATGAGGTGACTGCTCTGAGGTGCTTTTGCAAACACAAGTAAACGTTTTGCTAAATGCACAACCCTACACTCTCCACAGAAATTTTTGCCGTAAAGTCAGATGTCTTTTTGGGATAAATTGTATAAATATGTGGAATTCAGACTCATCGTTTGAAATGGGAACAACTGCGCTGAGGTAACTATAACTTTAATGCTAAGATGTCGTTAAACGTTCAGAGTTTTATCCATATAGAACACAGGTTCTCACAAAATGTTGCTTCATACACCGTGCGTTCACATTGGAGCGAATGAAGTTTCGTGGCAACGAAAGGCCTCGTGGCGCTACATTGTGCTCGGAACGAGGGCGCAAGTAGACTCGTAACCTAATGTTTTTTTGGACAGTTTTACCGTATACTATGATTTCGTCGGTGATATTTTGTAAGAAAAAAAATCCTGCGCAATTAGCACTGCAAGAGCCTTGTGACAAACAGAAACCACAGTGCAGTTGCGTAACTGTTCACTTGGACATTGTGTAAACCTGACCGTTGCAATTGCTTGCCCCCACGAGCCATTCACACGCTAAATATACTATGCCTCTATATGCTTCTATATATGAAGCGCTTCATCAAATTAAAAAAAACCCAGCTTTATAAAAATCGAGTACTTGGTATATTTACGGTGAAATAGCTTGAAAAAATGGTAAATGCACTGGCAATGTTGTACCCACAATGCATTGGCCGGAGTAATGGAATCTAATTACGTTTCTGACATGACAGACGATGCAACCCTTAAAGAAATCCCTAGGCACACACACACACACACACACAAAATACGTAATAAATTTCGTGGTATTCAGCCTTGTCTGAAACCATTTCCTATTTCTCTGAATCCCTTTATACAATATTAATACAACTTAAGCCCAATTTCTGAAAAGCAATTTTTCATATCTGTTTATTGTAATAGCAATGAACCAGCGTAACATAGTATCGTGAACAAAAGCTGATGTAATTGAATTACATTCCGCAGGACAGAAAGCAAAGAAAGGGAACCGCCTTCATCAAGTGCAGAATGCCACGGGAAACAAGGTCTGATGCATAATCAGACTGGGACAATGACAATATTAAAGCGAAGAGGAGACTGGCACAAACGGTGTTCCTGGAGTTTTGGTTAAATGTTGAGTTCCTGTCGCACAGCAGTTGCAGAAGCCAGGGTTATTCCTCAAGGCCGATACCTGAACACGGTCTGTCTTAAACTTTCTGCATCCATGAGACCAAACTTGATCTTCATAAACACAAATGAGTGATCTGATGAAACAGCTGTCTGGACCAAACGAAGAGCTGTATGGTTCTCTAGATATCTATTCAAGAGCAATGATACTGGCGTATACATGGGAACTGTTCCGCTCCATCGTTGTCTACGAGTCGGCTTGCATAGCCTTGGTCATATGGTCGATCACAAATGTCGTCCATGATTTGTAGATTTCCTCAATCTTTTCACTGTACCTTGTGTCTAAAAGTTCCTCGATCGCCTCAAGCAATGGCTTCTGAAACGTCTGCGAAGTTCAGAAGATGAAAACATAAATTTGTAAGCCATTTTGTTTGTTAGTCATTTTATTCTTTAGTCATATATTGAAAATCACTTTTTCCCATAAATAAGAAGGCAAGTGATAAAGATGTTGAATGATGGGATTCATAAGGGTCGTCTTTTCATTTATCTTATTTGGTTTTTTTTTTACTACCAACTTTCATCTTACAGAGTCACTGTATATTAGATATAAATTTGGCTAGCCTTTTGTTCCATTTTTCTTCATGTCTTTACAACAAAAACTATATCACAAAGGTTAATGCAAAATGCATGGGTTGGCATTATCTCATCGGATTTGTCACTTAGGAAACTATAGGAAACTGTAAAGATGCAAGTTCACAAAGTCAGCGTTTTATTTATACCAGGTAGAGCCTATTACAGCAATTTATCTTATCAAGCTAAAGCTATGTCAACCTGATTCAACTTGAAATCATGGGAATATAGGCCTTTGTTAGATGCATCTGGGTTCAATTTGTGTACATATCGAAAGAAACAACAATTGTAGGGCCAGGAACATTGCGTTAGTATACACAGACCACACCCCCCCCGAAGTACTGGTTGATACTAATTATAGAGTTTACGACAGCTGCTAATACGGGTAATTCATAACAGTCCGCCTCCAAGAGTTTGAAACGCTTGTGTCAATCAGGACACGCGAAATCTGTCGACCCAATGCGCGTTTTGAAAGAGTTGACAGATTTCACGCGTTGTGATTGACCAACGCGTTATAAACTCTTGGAGGCGCACTATTGTGAATCGCCCGTATTCCAAGCAAGGTAAAAAAAATAGAGTAAAAATAAATAGTCTCTGATGGAACTGTACGAGCAAAATGCGCACTCAACCAGCCTTGAGGACAGTGAACTTCTCTCTAAAGGTTGAGTCTACGCAATCACACTAATAGCTCATACAACAAGCAGTAAATAAGGCTGGAGAAGCGGAAACACTTGAATTCGCTAGATATGCGATGGTCCTGATGTATCAAGTATATGAATTCAGTGACTTAAAGTTGAAACTTAATCATAGGCAATCGTTTAATGGCGAGCTTGCTACGTACCATCAACAAAAATATAAACCTGTTCTTTGTTGACATTTTTATGTCACCATTGCGCACGTCTAACCTGTACGTGTACAACCCACGCACGACCGCAGAGACAATTTGTGTTTAAAGCATAATGAGGAACAGAGTGAGCATTGTAATAAAATCCTGTCTCTAAGGGCGTGAGGGCAGTAGGGAGAGGGGTGAGACTGTTTCGAAACACCGCTTGTCTCAGTTACTGTAATCGATTATTCTTCATGTCTGTTATAACAATTCTCATAAAACGAAATATGTGCTAGAAAATCCTTTTCAGTTTTAAACATCAACACTCAACAGTGGACGTTTGTTCCTTTCTACACAGGCCACGCGATGGGATTTTCTTTTTTACTGCATGACAGCACCTACTCTTGTAGATGCTTTTTATAAGAAACATTTTTAATCTTATTCCCAATGTTGAGGGGTTATGAGCATTCTGTAGTTTTAAATCAAATTTCAATATGATCAAAGGTCGAACGTTGTTGCTATAACCAAGGGCAAACTGTCTCTAAAGTGTGGCCGCCCATACAAGATAGTGGTCAATAGTTTTAAACAAAAGTCTACGATTGGGCCAATCACGGACCAAGCCGCACTCACCCATATAACGTCTGGTTCCACGCCCAACTTGGCGTGTCGTTTACCCGTTTTACTCAGGAGTTTGATGACCGCGTCCACGTCGCCCAACAACTCGACGGCCTCATCGAAGACGCCCATCAGTGCAGTGGCGTGCATCTCGAAGGACATGTCGTTCCGGAGCTGCTCCTCTGTCTTGCCCTTGAATAAAGGGAACCAGTCCTGCGTCTCGGGCGTGTTCTTGAACAATCTGGGGAAAAAAGTTGAATAAGACTGCATCCAAACGAAATCATACTTGCCCGTGCATGGAACTCAGTTGGGTAATTTCAGAGGTTGTAAAGCTTTGTAGCAGTTAGTCTTGTAACAAGATAATCACAAAGCAATACAGGCATTCACAATAGTGCAATCAGTGCAACATTGAGAATCAGTGCCTTGGATGACAGCACAGTTCTTCTCATGAATATGCAAATATGCATTAGCATAAAAGCCAAAAAAGCGTAAAAATATGGGTTAAAATTGCAAAACAAAAATTTGAAATAAGGTTAATTGAAACTCAAAGATGCAATTTCCAGGGTTTTTAGTAAATTTCTAAAAATTATTTCCATATCCTGGTTCCTTAAGACTTTAATTTGTCATTACATGTACTCTACATATTAAATATCAAGTTATTGAACAAAGAACACGGTCGAGTACTGTGTTAAAGGCTGGCTCATACCTGGCGCGAAAGCGGCGACACTTTATCGTTGTGAGCGAAGTGGGGGCACGGGCCCTCCGCTCGAGGCCTGTGCCCTGTCCCAACTCCCACCCGTGTTCTCCCCTCTCAGAAAATAGTGAAGGAACATCTCTTAATAGTCCACCTTGGTTAGTGTTTTACCCTTCACTCCATGAAAACAAGGTAAATCAGATCCTAAGATGGTCCCCTCCCAAAAGGAGGGCCCCGGGTTCCCCCAGCAAAATGAATCCCAGTTATGCCACTGCAATATTCCGATAGAAGCGGCGTCCAATACTGATGAACTTTACAGCGGATTTTTACATTTCTTGGCAATCTTGTGAATACATAAATGTATAACGCTCATATTTAATGTGAGACAGTTCTTAGCTTAACCCTTGGAAGAAACCAGCTCTTTTGACTCAGAACACAACATGTAAATTTTTGTTAGACTTTGGTCCGTGCAGTTGCACCTTGACAATCAACACGCTCCTTGTCACGGCTTCAGCGTGCGCACACACAGAGCTACGTTTTACGCAGCCATTCGGGTAAAGCAGACTCTATCGTGCGTCCTTCTTATAAAAACATGTACATCCTTGCAATCCAGGAAATGGCGGCAAAATGATATTCTTAACATTTCAAACAGCAACGCAAAACGATATCCGACTCACGACAACTGATCACTGCGCGCAGGAAATGGCTCCGACGCAACTATACACAATGAAAACCTAATACAGACAACGGAAAAAATAACCTACATGTCATACTATATTGCGCGGGAATGGAGGTAAATGAAAGATGAATTCACCCGGCGTTGCCAAGACCTAAACTGTGTATATCTGATCATGAAATGCGTTGTGTGTGTCTCAGGTATACAGACACAGTGAATAATGTTGCATCATATCAAAAGAGACATGCATCATGAGAACTGTGGACACATTTATAAGTCGGTTTTACAGGTCTCGCTGATGCAACGCAAGAACGCAGCTTAAAACGTTGAGATGAGGCTTAGTAAATACAAATGTTTGGTAATTTTTTTATGTGAACAGGATATGCGCAATTTCTTTGTTTTAGTGTAACCCGTACATTTATCACAGAGACAACATGAGATACATGAGGCCTGATTTACTCATTTTTTTCATCTCCATTATATTGAAATCTTATTTATTGAAATTAATATCGGATAAAGAGTTTAAAGGGTAACAAGCATCGAACGATAAAAAGGGTTCAAAGGTCCTTCTGAACCGGCATGATTCTAAAACATTGCCGGAAATGCCCTTTAAGAACACAAGACATGTCAAACAAGCACGGAAGCATTTCATCAGCTTTTCCACAAGAATGACGATCCCGTGGCAATTAGAGACGGGACAAAATCTATTGGTTGAACTTCTAATTAATTGTACATCGTCAATTTAACCTGTTTTCCCTTTCATTGCGAGATTTTCCTCCGAGATCAACGGAACAGCTTTCCTTCATAGGAAGTACGGCGCAGATAGATCAACAGTTTGCTACCTTCCACCGTTAGGATAAGATCCCAACAAATTAACATAATAACTTTACTAGAGAACCTTCTATCATTAATTTACTTGAGCCTAATTTTTTTTACTGTTTTGATACCAATACTTTGGTCACACTTCATCGAAAGTATGAGAAAAAAGTGTCGAGTCAGTTTTCTAGCAATATAAATTATTCTACAATATATAGTGATAGTATGTCGTCACCGTTTTCACGAAGAAAAACTGGTTTTTGAGAAATCGCCCGAGAAATTTCTCCTCTTTCAAAAACAGCAACAAAATACCAATATGGGACAAGTTATGCAGTAAGAAAACCTCAAACGACTCTTTGAGAGGCAAACTTTGTCTGAACCAAGTAATTATAATGAACACAGTGGTCAATTAGCCGAAAATCAATAAGTAAAGATGCGTGTCTGTTCGTGAAATCGAAAATCCATGTTTTCCTACTTATGGGCCCTCCGTGCAATGTATTTTTCCATAGGGAAGGGGCACACGTGTTCTCGCGCGCAAGTGTTACATCGGATGTGTGACTCCGTAAAAACAAAAATCGTACTTGACCTACTTTTTGGCCTTTTCAGTCGATTTGTACGTGTAGGAGGGGCAGTAAGATTTTTGTCTCATCGTGAAAATGCAACATGCACTTATAGAGGTTTAGGCCCCTAACAACATAAACGTAATCGAAATCGGAAAAAAAATACTACTTTCGACATGTGTGGCTCTGCGTGAAAACGGTGACGATATAAGGCCAACGGTGACACTGTAATCAGGCCAGGTACAATAAATACCAGTCGATCGTAACACCTGCATCATTTTAAAAACCTTATCCCGTGTTTAGCTACATTGTATAGTCTATATCTTCCCTTCAAACATTGGAACCATCCAACACTACCCCATCACATGTGCGGGTGAAAAATGACTTTCTGCAACCAAAAACCATGTAGAGTACATGGACGTTTTATGGGCTAAGTCGTGGACGTTTTATTTTCGACCGTCAAAATGATAGGCCACATTGAAAGGCCGTGAACATTGGCTTCATCTGCACAACAGAACATGATAGTGAATTATTTGTGAAAAAGCATGAAGCGCCCTTTATGACTTAGGCTATTATTAAAAAAACCAAACGAAAATAATATAAATATGACGAAATTAACATATATTGGACGAAAGTGGACTAAATCTAAAACCTAACAAATATATAAAGGACGACAGAAATTTATATAACACGAAAATTATACATAAAGTACGAAACCAATTTGTATATAGGACAAAAGTACATTTAAAGGACAAAGGTGATTCAGGACGAAAACTAATAAATATACAGCAAAACCCATACATAAACGACAGAACTAATAAATATAGAACGAAAATTATGTATAGGACAAAACCAGTATACGTAGGACGAAACTAATAAACATAGCATGAAACTAATATTTCTTTCGCCTCGTACACAGACCCGTAAACTCTTTACTAGTACAAAGCTGGCAGTCACTTTGGATGGAAAGGTGTCAGCCATGTAAAAGCTGCTGTGGCCATAAGGGGGAAAAGTGAAAGTAAAAAGAATAAGGCACTGCCTGTTTTGAAAGAGAATACTACAATTACCAGCCGTATCTCTTTTATCCCCTACGTGTATCCAAAATCCAAAATCTAAACTCTATTTGGCAAAAATATTGTCTTCAGAAAGGTAAAGGGATAAAGGCAATCTTGCGACCTTCATGCGCCAAAAGATATCCAGAAACCGTGAACAAAGCGCGCATTTCGAAAGTCTGTCAGCACAATAGAGACTGGCTTCGTCGTTATCTTCATGGGGCATTGCAAAGGCCACGGGTGAATCCTTGGAAATGATGTTTTCGTCGCACTAATGTGAGACAAGTACAAGTACACCATTGGGCCCAGAAATGGGTCGTTGCTTGCTGCAGGCCTGCCGGCCTAAGATGTACCGGGCAGTCTGCTGTTCTGGGTCAAAAGCAGTGGAATCGACAACCATATGCAGATTGAATCCCCCAGCAGGTGGATTTGTTTACTTCAGACATGGATTGAAGCCTAGTAACCAACAGGGGCCATGCCCTCCCAGTAACAACGAACAAAAACACGTTCAGAAAAAGGCGAATTTTGTTTGGTCGTTTTTATTTCTTTTCCTTCAAGCAGCGTATTAAAAACCCTCAAATGTAATTTTACCCCTCACAAAGGCCTTAAAAGGATAAAAGAATCAAACCCTTTTAAAATGTTTTGTCCAACTCCCTAAAAGTTTGACCCCCTAAGATTCAGTTCCTTGTCCCAAGTCAATATGGCCTTGCATTTTAAACACTGCGACGACAACACTTTAGCACAATAACCACCCTTGTAAAGACCAAAACTTCTTCCTCCATCGATGAGCGCCAGCTAATCCAAGACCAATTATAATGCCAAAACATATTTTCATCCCCTACAGAGCGGTCGTTTTCAGTATTCGTCACCGAGGTCTATCAGCATACTGCTGTTCCCTATTGTGTATGTGCGGGAGGGGGTTGAGAGGGGTGATCTTACTGTAAATCCGCTAAGTCCAAGAGACCGACACCCGTTAACCTTTACACCAAAGAATAAAATTGTCTTGATACCTGTAGCAATTGCATTTGTTTATGGTCGCACTGGAAGTTTTCTCGTGACTTACCATTTTAATGACTCGTTACCCGGTACCCGCGAGCAGCGGCATGTCCAGTGTCAAAACATGCTAAACCTCATATCAAATCAATCTGGGTATCGTTTATAATAATTGTAAAAATACGGAGCGTATATTTTTAACATCGAAAAGTTGCAATACTGGAACTTCAAAAAGGAATATAAGAGATAAATATATAAAAAATGTGTTATTGGCAGGTAAGGCGGTGAAAAGACTTTAAGGCCAAAAAAATCTCCGGTTTCTGGTCACCGCGCGCGTCGCCGTAGACCTGTGTGTCGGCAAAATGAAGATTTTTTTTTTTTATTTTGCATAAAACGATTTCCAAAAGCCGCCAAACTTACTTGATCGGCAGGAATTTTAATGCGTTTTTGATGGGTGGGGTTGAGTAACATGTACAGTGAACGAATCCCCCAAGGCCTCCATACATTTCAGTTGGGCACTCTTATCAGATGACGTCATTCGTGTCGGAATCGGTTTGTTGTGGCTTGATATTGTGAATGATTATACGGGAACTGGCCGTAGATGCTGCCAAATACTCGGTGTAATTTCCGGCCGTAGCCAATTGATTCGGACCCGGGCCTACGTCGGTGAATCAGACAAACAAAGTGGTCTTACGTCCTGCTTACGTATACAAATTAAAAACGGTTTTAAGCAACAAACCGTGAGGGGCCAGACTATTTCGGTGTCGGAGAGGCAGTGGCGGTACACACGCATGCAGTGCATGCAGTGGCCATGGACATCGCGTTATGACAATCATAGGCCTACATGTGTGTGTACGTGGCTGACTTTCCGCCCAATTTTTTATATGTAGCTTGTTTCTTGCACGCTAAAACAGAAAACAATGTGTACAGTATATCATTCATCTCATGAGAATTTTATTTTCATTTTGACAGTGGAGCTTAACTGTTTTCATTTATGTTTAGGCATAGGCTATTTGACATGCAACTTGTTTCCTCAAAGCGAAAGCAGAAAACAATGTGCAAAGAATGTCATTTACTGCTACCTCATGAGAATTTCATTGAAAATCGGAAACTGGAGCTGAACATTTACTTTTCACATTTAATTTTCCATGGTTCTGCTACCGTATTTTAACAAGCTCAATCTTGCCAAGAATAGAAACCTCTTGTTTGAGTGAGATGACTGAAACCATTGCCTCTCGTCATATTTTATGTTCTTTTTATTCATTCAAAGTTGTTAATTCACACTTCTCGTGGTAACAAAGCCATGCGCTCTAAGCATGTGTGCACGTACACATGGGACTACAGAGATACATGCATTACATTTCGAAACTGCTGTCTTTGATTCAAGCAATGGTCTCCCTTTTGAGATATCAATACTATGTACAGCTGATAAGATACCTCCCCTGCTATACGACACCATCTATACGATATCACTAAATTAGCAGAGTAACATTAAGGTGGTGCACTAGGCCTACGGCTTGCATAATTCTCAGCGGGGAGCCTGTCTTCTCTAGAAATTGACGATGGGCTCAAAATTTGTACGGTCAATTCTCAGTTTCAAAGTCGATTGAGGAAAATCCAAGAACCACGTTTGTTGACACAGTCAACACCATAATAAACCCGAATTGGAATTAAAAAGGACTACCGGTGGCAATAGTGCTATCCGCCTCATTTTCTCGACCATGCATCCACTGGTCCCTCTTAATCAATGCTCTTTCCCTCAAGGATAATGAATTACCTGCCGGACGACCCCGGCGCATCAAAGGGCTGTAATTTCCAGCCATGTCGTTGACGTATAATGAACGCGCGGCTGCATGACCAGCCTTGTGCTAGGCCTTACTATATAAGAAGTTAGATACTACGGCCTAACGGCTGTTCGGATACATGGCCATTGGCTTTGACTGCGTGTTTGCTAATATCTGAACTTTCACTGAGACTGAACGGTAACTTAACCAATACATGTGTTTGCCTCATTTTATTGGTTTTATCATTGTAGGGGCCTATACGACGACGTAGCACAACGAAGCAAAACAAACTGTTCATTTATCCATACGAGAAGAGATCAGGATATCATAACATCTTTGTCAGGAAACAGGCTTTTCACACAATGTTCAGAACAGTGTTGTCTCTTGACTAAGGAGCCGTCAAAATTGTCCTAGGAAGTACAATGTAGGCCCTAGATCGGCTGCGTTCGAGCGTGTATAACTCGTGTAAACAATTAAGAGTGAGCGCCTACGCACACTGACAGCAAGAGTGCGACCTGCGGGTAAAGTCAGAGCGTGTGCTCTCCACCAGCCCGGAGGCCTACTCCTGCATCACGTCGTTCAAGATGGCAGAAAGCAAACAATAATCGTTCACGCGATGCGACCCAAGAGTTATGCGCACGCAACATCTTCCTGCCCGCGAGTATTGAGAGTAAAATGCGTGAATGCAGCCGAAGTGTTATTGTTGCGGTGCGCTCTTGGTAAGACAGAAAGTAGGCCTAACAGTGAGGGACTCCTAAAAATTTACAACACCAAAGAATATCTAACACATGTAGTCGGATTTATCTCGTTCACGAAATGCAGTGGACATGTTAGGGCCCTCCTTTAATGCAATACTATACAGTAATTTAATATTTTGAGAAACGCACGCATGGCAGTGATCTTATGCTTTCAAAAATATGAAACTAAGGACGACCAGCGAAAAAAAACAATTGTCATTCCCAGGAGCGATTTTCATTTTTCTGAGAGTTCTTATCAAGAACATATACACTAGCCGGCTGTCAACAGCTATGCAAATACAAACGCCAACAAAAACGAGTGTGGGTTGTTGATTATCATAACATTTCCTATGAAACGTGTGACCCCAGGCAGACATAGAAATTACTGAGCAGACTGCTATAATTGATGACATGTGGACAAAGCCCAAAATCGTTTGTAAGATATGCAAAGAGGATTTATTAATAGCACTACCAGTGGAAGCAAGGGGAGTGTATACTGTTTAAAAAAAGGGGGACATGCATTGGGCAATGAAAAATGATTGGCTTGAAAAATAATGTTGGCAAGGAATTACTGGTACCTCAGTTGTTAGTAAATAAGGATAAAATTTGATCAGCCAGTGGGGAAATTTGCCCAACATGCTGGGTTGTTGATATTTTGACATTTCAGTCTCCCGGGCAACAATAATACGGGTGTGTATACGCTTTCCTTCTTATTTGCGCGACTGAGAATTTAAAAACGTGTACCGACTGCTTTGCATCCAATACTTTTTGTAAGGACTGCACCAACACTCCAATGGTATGGGGTTTGCGAATTGATCATTCGTAGTATACGGACAGGCTCCACATCGTTCAGTCCATGATTACATATAGCTGTGCCCTACAAGGTCTCGTGAAAGAGAGGTTTCGTTGTCCTTGCATACTGGAAGGCTTCTATGCATTTTACATTAGACATAATCCTCAATTATTTGCACTTTTAAAGAATGCTCCTCGTACTCATAAAAATATTCACATCCGCCCCAAGGTAAAACGGCATTTCCCTTGTACATGTATTGTACGTTTGGGGGAACTGCAGTGAAAGGGGAAAACTGGAATTGAAGCAAACTGACGAAAATACAGGAGGAATAACAACGACATGACAAAAGTTAAGCGATCTCGGTAAAATGCACTGCATACGGCGTGCGTATACTGCACTATACGGTAACTTTTGGTATTAAACCTGCAGACTATCTTCACTGGTATACATGTAAAGGGCCACTCGCTGTGAGCCATTGCAATTTCCTGAAGTAAAATACCCTGTTCGTTCTGAATTTTTCATCTCCATTTGCCCAAAACAAATACCTGTTATACTAACCTGATTAATGCATTCATTCCAACAGTGTCTAAGCTCCGCTGTACGGCCTTCCATGATTTTTCGAGGCTGAATTTCTGGCGGGCCGTCAGTGGCAATCTCGGGTCGGTGGGCGGCGGGGCGTCCGGTTCAGGGATGCCCCCTGCCGTACCGTTCCTAGTCCGGTCCTCTTGAGCAGATGGAGAACAACCCATTGAAATTGCCTCTCGCTGGAGTTACTTCACTGAACCCCCAAACGGCGAATCCTTTCGTAACAGCAGACAGAATATAAAACAGCGCTCCATTATTACAGTCAACTCAGGCTATGAGGTTGGACGCATCTCTCTCATAGGATAACTCGATCGTGATACCTAAGTCCTGTTATTAGTGTGAACACAGGTTATTGTCAAACATTACTGCATCTCAACGTGTGGCGCGCGAACATTGTCTTCAATCATTGTCGTATCAGTTTAATGTTATGTCTCCCTTAAATCCCTTCCAGCGGGAGACGTTAGGTTCGCACGACACGCAGTATGATCGCTACAATTTCATGGCGATCACCAGTCGAAGGCCATATTCATCCACCAGCTGATACGAGATACTGTGATAGTCCTGTGAGCATTACAGGCCCCTGCATTGAAACCTGCCGCTTATAGTGACGCCAACCAGTTGTCATCACCAATCCCAAGCCGTCTGATGTCTTAACGGTACCCTAAAGCAATCACCTGCAAGATGACCTAGTTATACAAAGATCCACTACGCCGCATTTGGTTTTGATTTGATTTTTGATTTTAACCATCATAAGAAATAAACAGAAAGCTTTGACGTTGGTCCAAAAATGGTGGTGTTCACGAGCTTGTAGTCTGAAATGAAAGGAGCCCAAACGTAGTGGATGATTCCACGCGATACGTGCAGCTCCCCCGTTACCGATATGAGCTCTGGCGTTAGCATGTGTCTGTGGGCCTAATATGCGAGAGGCAGTCGAGCGTGCTGTCATTGCTTATCGTTGTTAGCCTTGGTTGCCAGGTAATTTATCGCAACCCCCAATTACTCCTTGGTTTGTCATTGCCATCGCAACTCACAGTGTCAGCCAGCGTCTTCCTGGCGTGGCTGCAGAACAAACAGCATTTTATTCAACCATCATCGTTGTTGTCGATGTGGGACACAGTTATTAGCTTGCCGATCATTATTACTGTCAATCATACTCAGGCGAAGTGGACTATCCAGTTAGCAAGACCTCTCAATTTTTCTTCATCGGTTACGTAAATGCGATACCACAATGCAACTGGACTGCAGTTAGGCATTTTCCAGGAAAAAAATAAGTGCTGGTGGATCCTACCGAGCTGTCCGTTCAGAGTACAAGAAACCGCCATTTGGTGCTGTACTTCAAATATATACCATGCACAGGCATCATTTGCAGAGGAGTTTACACATCATTCTGAATATATTCGACGATTCAACATTAACTGTTCATGAAAAAATCGATCTTGTTCTTCAGATTCTATTATTTTTATGTGATGTTCACTGTACAATTTTTGAAATATATAAATGTACTTCACGTTTTTTGCTCTCTTTTAAACGGATGTCTGGTTAAGCACACCTTTTTGACGACAATTTTATAATTTGGTTTTTCCTTGAATGACATCCCCTGTCTATTTTATGTCAGAAGATACACATGTACAATATATACGCTATATAAATAAAATGGACGCTTAATAATGCAGGCTGCAATAGCGTAATTTGAGCGTAGCATGGTGCAGTGATCGACTGTATTAATGAATTTTAGAGCTGTCTGTCCATCAACATGACCTTATTTTCCATCAGTTCCTTAATTAATCTGCCTTTTCCTGTGTATATTCAATGCCTCACGCCTAAACGCTATACATGCACTATGCGTGGAATAAACAAAATGTCGTCGATTGGTTGATCAATATTCTTGATTTCAGGTTGTATTTATTATGCCAGTTGTCCTGTCCGACTTAATTAATCACATGCTTAAACCTCTACAGGTGCCTCTACAGTTCTTATCCTAATACGCACAGCGATCTGTGAAACCATAGAGCAAGGAACATTAACCTGTAATCACACTGTGTACATAAAGTCGAGTCTAAAGGCGCCTTTTCAACAGGTACATTTTTGGGGTGCGTTGTGTGCACGATGCGTTCTTGCGTTTCACTTTCAGAGACACAGAAATCAACCTTTTTAACATGACACAAGTGTGCGTTGCGTTCGGAGCTCAAAATCGCCCTAGGAGCGATTTTAACGGACACGCAACGCTTGGCGTAAGTTTTGACATGCATATGGAAAGGGACCTTAATGCAATTCGGCAGCTAGAATAAGAAGTCATTACTTTGAGGCGCAAGCTAGTGCACAGGTGGTGCGCGCGCGTTACATGCCCCTTCGACCCCATAGGGTGCCCTGGGACATGACACCGATTGTTTGCAATTCAATTAAGGCCATTCAGATGACCAACAATTGTCAACATTTTGTAAACGACGAAGTCAAAGCACGGGCATATCGCCTCCATTTAAGTCTATAGAGCCTGGAAGTAAAAGATCACGCAGCGAGCATCCGGAACTCTGGCGTGGTGGGAGTTTGCAACTGGCCAGTGCTATCACGTTCAATCATTTTTTGGAGAACGATTCCTAGCTGAAACCGCCTCAAGAAACACTCATGTCAGAATTTTACCTTTGTCTTCCTCAAGTAATATTTTGGAAAAGTCACTAGGAAATGGGTAAAAAAAATAGAATTTCGTTGACGACCTTTCGCTTCCAGCAATATCGTTCCTGGGTCTCCTTAATTGTTCATGCGCGTTTTTTTCACTCCCCGTGCTTATGAGAAAATGACAACGCAAAGATTTACCTACTTGCACTCGATAGATTCTAGATTCAGTCAGGTTGACCTGAGACAGTTCTTGTCAGCAAAAGTTAAAAATTAAAATAAATTCTTAAAAGATTTTGAGCTTTTTTCATGTTGGCTTTTACCGACAGACTATCATGAAGTATAGTTACTTTGCTAACAAGACCACAGAGTTGCACTTTTCTTCATGTTTTTAAAGCTTTTCAGAAGTGATTGGTCAATTTTTGGCAGGATATATCGTTTAGGTCTTGTAATTTTTCCTTTTCTATAAACTAATGTGCTTGCAAACATACTTTTATAAAGGCCTTTTAAAAGAACGGGAAAGAAATTACAAATTCTAAAATGACTGCATGCTATTTTTTCTATCCAAGGGTTTCCGGTTGCGTGCTACCAGGGGGTCCACTTTCAGGCTTTATCCCATAGTTGAAATGATCGACGGTCATTCGAACCCGGCTTGAAAAGCCCGACACAACGGTAAAAAATAATACAGTTGAAAAAGTAAGATAAATAAACAATTCCTGCAGTAAGAACAGTTATTCTTAGAAAATTAAGAACAGGATTCATCCCAGTGAGGGTTCTATTCAACTGATCCATCAAGAGCGTGGCTCAATCTAAACTTTTCGGACTGCATACGTGGAGAAAGTTAATGCGTAGGTTTTTATGTGCCTCTTTAAAAAGCTTAGGCTTTGTCTAAATTGTGAGGTTGAGTCCAGTAACTAGACCTCACGTGGGTTATAACTGGTTTTCTGCAGCTCATTATAAATAAATATGACGGTAGTGCCGACAGCAGGGATTAATTCACGACCAAATTACGGCGCCAATGCAAGATGATATTGAATGGAAGCTTCTTCACCTAGGAGATTTATTTAGTAGACAAATGGAAAACGGAGAGCGAGACATCTCTTGAAGAACGGTCTCCAAGGAATTAGAGTTATTAATGTATTGTAGATATGTTTCATTCAAACTCACTACTTCCAAGACTCGAGTTTCTTCAGCAAATTTTTAAATTTCTCCTTATTTAAAGGCAAAAGCACACAGGCTAAAAATACACAAATCAGACAAGACCCACTGGATAAATACATAAGGAACTGTACCGCTATGTTTTTAAATGAAGCTGTTTTTTTGGTTCACGGTGAACTATGGAGTCAGGTCCTCGCAGACTTTCCTCCTAGGTCCAAAGGTACAAGTAGCATGCATATATTTTAATGCCGTGCGGCTTTCGAGTTTCAAGAGGAGTTAACGTAATTCTTGGTATTCGTTACCTTCAAATATCCGCCAATCCACAATTTAAACAAAAGAAACAAAATTTAAAGGTAAAATAGGGTAGAAGCTCTATCAAGACTTTGTTTGATGACCAACTTCACATAGTTAACCATTGAGCCTGCCAGGTTTCATAATTTCGCTAGAGAAGAAAGTTGTACATTAATTTGTACATATGCAATATAATCTATAATGTTACTAATGTTGGAAAGGATAACTCTAACCCTGCTTAAGAGATGTGTGTACCTCCCGTTATAAAGAGATAATTTGTCTAATTGTTGAATATAGGCCTAACTTTCTGTGTATCTATATACTTCCGTTTATTTGTTAATCATCCCCAACCCCTTTTCATGAGCAAATTTGAGGCTATTATTCCAAAAGATATATCCTCTCTGGCAGACTAGGTTTTAAGTTTTATTTTCATTTTTGAGAAAAAGTTTTTACTCTCATAGGTGTTCCATTTGGATTTCGAGTATTTACCCAACTGATTTAAAAACACCGACCAATAATTATCCTTAACAATTGGAAACAGTAAGATTGCGCCTTTCACATGATCAGCTTGAGGAAACTTGTAGACCTGTATGTGCGCTATTTCTCCCCCATGGCTGTGAAAACGACCTTATTCTATCCCATCATGCACTGCAGTAAACACAGTGATACGTCATCACAACAGGGGCCAATTTCGTAGAGCTGCTTAAGCACAAAATTTGCTTAAGCGCCAAAAATCCTTGCTTAAAAAACGAAGGTTACCAGCTCAAAATCTATGCGATTGTCATACCAATCAAAATACAGGTGAATACCATTCTAGACAACATAGGCCTACATCACATGGAGACTTGGCTGGTAACCTGATTGGTCAACCAAGCTTTCTTCACGCTTAAGCATATTTAGTGCTTAAGCAGCTCTACGAAATTGGCCCCAGTGCATTAGAAGACAACCTCGACTCCATGGGCTGCGTGCCCGTTTCTTCACTAGCGCAAGACAAGGTGGGAACCAACATGGCGCGGCAAGATCCTACCCATATAAGGAACGAGGCTAGGCTAAAGAGTACGAAATGAATACGCTCACAACATTGATGTCCATTATATATAACGGATATCAATGGTGTAAGAGGCATTTAGCACGAGAACCAGCCGCCGAGCGCGTGAACTAAATGACACGCTCGCGTACTCCACTTTCTGCTTCAAAATGACGTCACACTTCAGTACTCTCTTGGTTTATCAGTTAATTCACCTGCAGGAAACGACGGGAGGTCAACCATTCTTTGTCTGACATTGCCACGCGTGCTCCGAAAATGCGGTCCGGTTACAGTCGGCGACGGCCGAGTCGCAGGCCCTACTTTCTTTTCCTACCTGTTCGTACGCTGTTCAGCGTGTCTGTTAGCCCACGACCTAGAGGATTCGTTGAATGGTGGAGGCTACGCCAACTAATGTCTGCGTATGAAACCAATGCTCGAATTAATGGTCTAGTTTTCAAAGGAGTGTAGGCCTCACTTTTCAAAATGCTGACAGGCTTCGAGACTATACTTTTAGGGGTGATCAACTTTAGAGAATTTTCCTTCAAACGTTTACGGATACCAAGTAGAGAATAGAGCCAGAAAGAAACAGGTCACACAGCTTCCGGAACCCTGGAGCGGTCCGCCTACGTGGAGTTTACATTGGGCCGTCCTATCACGTTCGATAATTTTTTGAAAAATAATTCCTTACTGAAACCACCCCATGAAACCCTCATGTTGGAATTATTTATCTTTATCTTCCTCAAGTAACATTTTGGAAAAGTAACCTGGAGATGGGTTAAAAATGAATTTTATTAAAGAACTTTCAGCGATATCGTACCTAGGTGTCTTTGTTCATGCACGTTTGTTTTCACTCGCCGTGCTTTCTTGAAAACGAGATTGTACAACCTTGCAAAGATTTACCTACCTGCAGCCAATGGGTTCCAGATCCGTTGAGTTGACATCACGTATATAGTAGTTGTCAGCAAAGGTTGGATAAATATTAGAATCTTTTGTAAAAGTAGAATATTGCTTAATGTATTTTTACCTTATAAATTATAAAAGTGTAAAACCATTTTGATTTGTTTTATTTCCGCTTTTACCCACACACAACCATCAATTTCGAACCGTTAATGTTCATCTGCGTACGAGACTGCCGCATTGCACTGTTGTTCATGTATTTCAGATTTTCGGAAGTAATGGGTCAATTTTTGGCAAGATAGTTCTCTTTTAGATCCGGTAATTTTTCAGTTTCTATAAATTGATATACTAGCAAATATTTTTCCAAAGCCCTTTTTACTAGTTGGATTTTTAAAGAAGAAACTGAACGAAAATTTTACAAATTCTAAAATCTTTACACCTTATTTTCCTTTCCAAGGGTTCCGGAAGCGCGCCATCAGGGGTCAACTTTCAGGTTCTATTAAAAGAAAATTAATGACAAATGGGAGGTTACCTCTGATTTGACGTGTGTCTCAGCCACCTGAGAAAGTTGTGAGTATTTTTTTTCTGATTATTTGAGGCTAGTTATCAAGTTGTCTACAGAAGTTTGTGTACTGGTCTGTTCAGAAAACGTTAATCTGTGACTGGTCTGCAACCTTTCTGGTCATTTTGTGGTAGCGCCCTCAATCAATCTCTTTTACGATTAAACGTGCAGTTAATTTTTGTCACCTGAGCTTTCCTTGTAATCACTGTGTATGTTGGGAACATGACAAAAAGGCACATAAATTTGAAAATTACAATTTTTCTGATATATGACGGACTCTATCATACCATGACCGAATCAAGATCACAGTCCAAACATATTTGCCTAGTTTCATGACTGAGAAATGACATACAAGCGACTGATAATGCGACTAGTATCGGTTCATGCATTCTGCGCATGCGGTATAACCATTACATATACAGAGCAACAACTCTAGCTCGTCTGGCGTGGTAATGTAAAAAATCTTTATGTTCTTGGACAAAAAACTGATTGCACTCTCATTGCTTATGCTTGTTTAGTGGGTGAATGAAGAGTTTAGAGTGTCACTGAGTGTAGGGAATTGGTTTGCACTTAAATAAGATGGCTTTGCTCTATGCTCGAATTTAGGCCTAGGCCTATTTTAGAAATTAAGCCTAGGGCCCGGCATATGGCGGTAGTAGAGCGCCACTACTCGAGTCTATAGCCCCACTAGTGTGGCACAGACTCTCACTCCCTCTCCAACCTTAGCCACATATCTGGATACTCAATTTCATGTCGGCGTACTGAATATTTTCGGGGCACCCACTTATCATCGTGGGCGCAATTTCTTTTGCACACAGAGGTGATCCTTAGCCTCTCCGCTTTCTTAGCGCTATTTATTGAATGATTTCACTCATGTTGTTCTGGTATTTTTCAGTCTTTTTGCCTTCACCCTTTCGTAATGTTCAATGAGTTTATTTTAAAGAGGGCGACTGTGAGAGCGAGCCAGTGAGATTGATTGGGTGAACGCAAAAAGACCGGAAAATACCAGAACAACATGAGTGAAATCATTCAATAAATGGCGCCAAGAAAGCGGAGAGACTAAGGATCATCTTTGTGTGCAAAAGAAATTGCCCCCACGATGATAAATGGGTGGGCCGAAAATGTTTAGTACGCCGACATGAAATTGCATATACGGATGTGGGGCTAAGGATGGATTGGGAGTGAGAGTACAGTATGTGCCACACTAGTGGGGCAAACCTGACTATTGCATGCGCATTGCCACCGCTTGCAGTTTAATAGTTTAATAGTGGAGCGTTAGTCATGTTAGCATTCTTCTTTTTCAATGTTGGACGGGATCGTTATACTAACACTCCACGCCTGTACATATAGTAAGGTTGAAACGGTTCCAAGACTCACCAAAAATACCTCTATCACCACCTACTGGCAGCGTAAATGCCAATATTAAACAGTTGGGGCTCCAATAATATTTTTGACTTCAAAATCTGTCAAAATTCGACTGTCTTTGCTGGACACATGCACAGCACTCTATGGAGGAACATTGTCCTCTAACGAAATCGCAGGAGATGCCCAAATGCAGTTGGGGCACAAGACGTATTGACAAGGAAGCAGTTGTTGGGAGCACTCCCAACCGTCACGATCAACAGGTCTTGTGCCCAGACCACGTATGGGCCACTCTTGTGTGTTTCAGGGAGGACCATGTTTCGCCCATAGAGTTATTGCGTATTCTAAATCTCGATACATGCACTTGAAAGGTACAGGCGGCGAAAAGTTCAAGTGCTGTGCATGTATCGAGCGAAAACGGTCGGATTTTGACAGATTTTGAAGTCAGAAATATCATTGAAGCCCCAACCGTTTGACGTTGGCATTTATGGAAGCCAGTAGGTGGTGATAGAAGTATTTTTGGTGAGTCTTTGAAATTTTTAAGAACCGTTTCAACCTTACTATATGTACAGGCGTGGAGTGTTAGTATGACAATCCCGTCCAAAATTGAAAAATAGGAATACTAACGCTCCTCTTAGTTGAGCTACTGCCAGCTAATGTTTGGCTGGCTAGCTGCAGACGGACAGGACTGGGACCGTATATTTATTACCGCTGCAATACCGGTTGAGTAATGTGAACATGATATAAACACTTAGCACCGATATGAAAGGAGTTCCTCATTTGAGGTTGGACATTCAATATCAGATCAGGGACCAAACCACAATCTAGCTACGACGTCAGGCTATGTATACGCACCTCTTTTGTGCAACGATGACATAATTTTTGAAACTTTTAGATCACGGTTAGCAGATGACATCATTCTCTTTATCAGCCAAAAACTTCCTCAGATTGGATCAGATGTACAGGAAACATGCTACCCAAGATCTAAATGAAGCTTTCCTTTCATTTGGTATCTATAAAAGTGAATCAAGGAGATTTTTCGGTTGAATCTTGCACTGGATGTGTCAAATTTGGTGGGCAGGCGAGTCCAACTCTGCCGATGAAAAAGTTTACCCGAAAAAATGAAGCTTTGCCGAAGTTTACTTCATGCATGAAAATGTTGCCATTAAAAATCTCCATCGATTCACTGTGGCAAATTTTATGTTTACCTTGGCGATTTTCCAAAAAAGCAATCAGTCAATTTTGCCATAAACTCCAACGGTAACTTAGCATTTCAAATCCCGTTATTTTCCTGATATCACGCGGGAAAATTACATCTTTATCACATGACCTCATAAAAATGACGTTATTGCCGCTTGAACTAGTGAAATAAGCAGGAACTAGGAAGTCGCTAGATTGTGGTTTGGTCCCCGACCTGAATATTGAACAAGTAGGCTAGGCCTAACTGTTCGATATTCCAAAGTTGAAGACGTAACTGTTTGACATTATTTGGCATGTTTGGCGACTGCTCAGGATGTACATCCTTAGAAACGATGGAGTGCCAAAGGGACAACAAACAAACTGCCCATCTACATTTCAGGGCTTGTATAACCACCAAAACCCCATGCCGTGGGTTACAAGGCATGCAATTCAAGGAGTTGTTGTAGATTGAGGAGAACAATGAGATCGGATTCAATGTAATCTCTGGGAAGAGTTCCATATATGGAATTAATTAATTATTCCCTACAGTGACCTATTAGCCGTCAGATAGCAAAAAAGTCAAGAAAAGTTCTACTTCGGAGGAAAAAAAAACTAAGTCTAAGTTGTTTACATAGAAAACACTATTCAGACCTGTCTCATATTTGCACAGGTTGTCGAGTGGCGTCCGTAAATTTCCTAATCTCCAGGTGGGACATGGGATTTGGGTATTTTATTTCAGTTTCAGAAAAGTGTGTTGTGATGCATTCCCTTTCCTAGTCTGGTTTGAAAGCAAAGAACTCCACCGACAAGACTTAATATAGCTGTAGCTGCTTTGTGGAAAACTGCATTGCCCTAGTAGAAATGGAGGCAGTGGGGTCACTAAAATGTACAGTCCAGTTTGAAAATAAGTTTAGACCCGGGGTGTGGGCTTGATATTGTTTCGAGTGAAATAGTTTTGATGAAAACAGTAAGTATATAAAACTAACCCTTTTTTCCTCTAATAATAATATTGGGGTAAAAAAGTATCGCCTACATGTCAGGGTTTGTTTGACTCCAAAAAACTATATGCCCAGGGTTGGGTCTATGGGAGAGAGTTGTGTGTGTATACATCATTTTGAAATGGCATGTTTAATACAACTAAGGTGATGTGGATGCGCAGGATGACGCAATTTGGTTTTTTGTCCCTTTTGCACTCCATCATTTCTAGGGGTGTGCCCCCTGAATGTCAAACGGTCACTTGTTCAACACTGAATGTTGACTGAAGAAAGGGAAACTTACTTCACATTGATACACTTAGTACAGATGTTGCTGTGGGTGAAACCCAATTGAGCACATATATTGAAGTCATGCCATCATTATTTGCTTCAAAATTATCATCAGACAAAGACAAAATCTTCGATATTTCGTTTGCCAAGTTTGAGGTCACATTTCAGCACTTTCAGTTTTTTAACGTAAGGGAGACTTTTTGAGCATTTTACACCAGAGACTAGGACTTTTAATAATGTCAGATTTTGTCACAAACTTTCTTTGCAAGTTAAACTTGGGAAGAAACTATTGTTCATTTTTACTAGAATGGTCCTGATAGTGCGGTGGGAGAGACAACAGCAATGGATCCAGTTTTAATGATGTGTGTCAAATGCCAGCAACGTCTGGGGAGAATTATCCAGAGATCGTTCTCTGTACAAAATCAAAGGTGAGCCCAGTGAAGGCTGTAGCTCTGCTTTGCTCTGTGTATAGTACCGGTATGTATCACTGGTGCCTACAGGGGGTATTTCTGAATGAAATTGGGAGTAGCTAAGACAGTAAAAATGAGGATTTCCTGTGAGTTTGAAAATCCTGTGCAAGTTGCTAATTTTGTACAAATTTTATGATGTTGAATTTTCAATGTAATGTCTCAGACTTGAGAGGCAGTCTCCATTGGTGAGGCCTGTAAAATGCTTGGCAACTTTTCTTTTAATCTGAAAATCTTAACAGGCACATAGAGTTTGTTACATTGTGTGACGGCACATTTACTGTAATCAGCTGGCACCAGTAACGAGAGCACTACTGGCACCTCAGCTTGAAAATGACACTGCATTTGTTGATGTGAAATTTCTGGGTTTTTTTGTGGAAATATATGTCCAGGAAAGAAAGACTTTTGGAATAATAGGCTTTCCAATGAAACTTGTTACCAAAAAAAACCCCAAAATCCCGGATTAATCATTTGCATTTATTGCCTTAAGAAAGATAAAGAGACATCTGATATATGTATGCTGTTTTGTCAGCCACAACCTTATACTGTTTTTCCCCATTTGGGAGTTTGTTTTGAAGCGTGCTACAGAGAAACTACTATCAAGTTCTTGGAGTCAAGAAAACAGCCACACCAAGAGAAATAAAGGCAGCTTATATTGAGCTCTCCAAACAGGTGAATGGAACACTCAAGCCAGGAGAACCTTTGAGCAATGAATCCAGGTTCTTCTTGCTCCCTCTTCATGAATTATACTCTCACAGTGTATGTGGGTAATTCCAGATATTAGGGGTCAATTTTTTGGGGGGGGCCCTGTCACATCTGACATGATTTTTGTAAGTTCAGAACACATTTTCTAATTTCCAAGAGTGATGAATTAATGCAAATTACCTTCCAAACAATTAGTAATATTCTGAAATCAATTCCAGCGATGTTTCCATGTCAAATAACAAAGGTCAGATATAACAGGGACACAGAAATGTCACACTTTGGACCCCTAATTTCTGGAATTACCCATGTATGAGAACAACATTTGTGGATATTTTTAAGTTAAGGGTCCATTTAGCAATGTGCCGTATTGGTTACTCTGGAAGGTGTGAGCCATGATGTTGTTAATGCATGTATGTTGTTCAAATATTTGCCAATGTAGTTACACCCTGATACCAATCTGAGTATAAAGCAACCGCTGAACGAGCAGAAGGACCAGCACAATTCCTTTGTGGAACTCAACCAAGCCTACGCCATCCTCAGCAAGTCACTATCCAGACGAGAGTATGACTTCAGCCTAGATAATCCCGGTACGCAGACGGTCCGTGTCCATGTGAGGCGAGCCGGCCATGCCACGGCAGACGATCCCTATGACACGCAGCAGGGGCAACAGGACTGGTGAGAAGATTCAGTTCTCCGGCATTAAAACTGTTTTAGTATTCATTTTTTTTTTAGACTGTTCACATGGTTTTTCCAGATCTTTCAGCAGCCACTGGGATTTTGGGGGAGGATTTCGCTGGGTTGTAGAAAGTAGAGCACGGCCACTCTCACGCAGACTTGATTCTCCTCTGCAGTTTGCAGTAGGCCTACATCTACTGAGATTGCACAGTACCGTTAATCTTTAAAATTTATGTGCATGTGTGTGTAGTGACGTCCCTCGGAGAAACATGACCGAACACAAAAGTTTAAACAAAAGTAACATTTCTGCTGTAGTTTGCTGTATTTCTCCATTAGTGCATTTGCAACATGGAAAAGAGATCCATAGATAGGCCACTGATGTGGTGTGATTTTGAGTGTGACTATCATTATAGCACCTTCAAATATTGGACTTTTCTTCGTCAAACACAAATTCATGAAAGTATGTATTCTTATGCTGGTCAGAGAAATGACAGCAAAAACTAAGCACCTACGTGTACATCAATCTGTCAATATAAGTTAAACTTTATATCAAAATTTCATTTTCACTGGGTAGGACTGCTGTTTCAACTCGTGTATAAGTTTATATCGACAGAAAGAAACATTTCACACTGCAATGTTATCCTCAAGTGAAATTGTGTTGGTCCACTCATGACCACCTGTAAATATTTTGTCACTCCTGCGCTAATGCAGCCAGCATGCTGTCCTAGAGCACCTGCAAATTCCGCATCATTTTTGTCTGCATTCTCTCCAGATGTAAGTGCCTTCATAACAAACTTACTGCGGACCACACAAGAAGTTCAGTGTCACTGATGTTCTGTATTGCAATTTTTAGTTCAAATTTGCGGCGGCCTACCTCAAGAATGTGTCTTCATGCAGATTTTGGTCCGACACGTGTACTTCAAACCAACATGTACATGTATACGCCAAAGACAAGTTGGAAAGATGGTCTGGTAAACTTTCTATAACATTGGAGCCACAATGGTACAAGTCCAAAAAGGGCAACCTAGGAAATGTCAGCTCAAGCAAGCATTGTTGAAAGCAGCTGAAACTAGAAAAACTTTTACTGCAGATTTCTGTGAGGTCAGTCACAAAAGCTAGTCTGTCTATCGGCATTTACATTTTCTGTTTTGATGAATTTTTGTATTGTGGTAAAGATCCTTTCCTTTGTAGAACTAATGCAAAGCAAGATTTTGCGCTTAGTCAGCGATGTTGACAGATGTGGCCGCCTACACATGCATGTATTATGCACATGTAAATGGCACATGAACCCGTGAACGTGATCGTGCCTCCTTTTTCTCGTTTTTTGCCAATCTCTTGCAAGTCACCTTTTCCTTTACTCCCAAGCCATTATCATCAGTCCTAATATTTTTATTATTTTTTTTTGCAAATCCTTAATGTTCGGTAAAATTACACAGAAAATTTAGGAGCCAAGGGAAATGTTTTGTGATATATACCCAATATAGGTGTTTCATGTGAGTTCGCTTCCAAGAGTTTTCAACCCGTTGGCCAGTCACATTGCGCAAAATCTGTCGACCCAATGCACGTTTAGAAGGGTTGGACAGATTTCGCGGGACAACACATTGCAAACTCTTGGAGGCTCACTATTGTGAATCACCCGTATCGTTTGCTGTACATGTTGCAGTGTCCAGTGTAGCAATGTTGTACTGTATTATTAATGACCCCCTTAGGGAAAAACAAACCTCAAGTTTACTCTCTACATTGCAGGTACCGTGATATGGGTGCTTTTCATCAAGGTTCACACCAGTCCGCCTCAGAAAATTACTATGGCATTAAAGGTGTTCGTCGTGTCAACAGTGTGTATATTGTGTATGGCTGCCTGACTTTCCTGGTTGTTGGAGCGCTTGTGCATTTCATCATCTTCAAGTAAGTTCACTCTCCGTATTTGTTGCGATTTATTTTTTTCCCATAGAGCGTTGGGAAATGTGAGCCTAATGGGTTGTAATCAACTCAAGTCGGAGATGTTCTGGCAATCCACATGCGCGGTGAGTGCTGACAGGCTAATAATGGACCATCTCACCCCCCCTCCCAGGTAGAGACAGATTACCTAACAGAGCTTGGCTGTCCCATGCCTAGTTCCTATGTTTCTGAAACTTGTAGGCACATGGAAATGCTCATTATAAAATTGTGAAATGTCAACACACTCTCCTGCGGATGGCCAGAGCACACTGGCCGAAACGTTGAGTTAACACTCACCGGTTATTTTAAGAATCACACCTCGCCCCAAAAAAGATTGATTCCATGGTGTACCCACAAACCTATTTCTCAAAATGTACTGCAGCAATATTTTTTATCTTTTTTAGTCAGCGAGTCAGAAGAGGTCAGAATATGATAGATTTCCAATGATTTTGTTCAAGAATTGTACATTCATTTTCCCAAACACTCCCATCCATTTTATGGTACATTCCTTGTGCAAGTTTGTCCAGAAGAATCTCCATATATGGACTTGGCGCGTGTGTGGTGAGTACTGCGTGCTGTGTTGCAGGCAGACTCTTGACCAATACGAATGGATTGAACTGTCTCATACCTGGTTTCCAGAGCATGTGTAATGCAGTGGGCATTATCAAATCTTAGCAGGCATCATCCAATGTCAATACATTGTCACTTTGCACGTTCTTGAATAGGAAAACTATCTGACATATTTATTAATTTTCCCCTTTCTCGGTCTTTTTGTGGTTTTTCCTTGAAGGCAGAGTAGCGACTATGTCATCAGCAGGTTAGACGAGAAAGACCGAAGAATAGCGGCCATTTACAATGAAGCAAAGGCCAGAGCAATGTGAGTCGCTGTCCTTGTTACAGCATGCATCCTCATGATTTTGACAAAGTGTCATTAGTGGAAGCAACAAGCGCTGTCAAGCCCACCAAGGCGCGAAAGTCAGCCCCACTGGGTTTGGTGCGATTGTTGTGAGAGTGAGGGAAATTTTGCCTAGTCGTTATTGTTTGTAACTGCAGATCATAGGGTCAGGGTTTGAATCTAGTCACGGGGTATTGGTGTTGACCTTGGGTAGGTCCCTGTTCCCCCATTTGGTCATTCTCCACACTGGAGTATTAATTGTTACCTGTGAGGGCTGAAAGTGAGAGTGTTATTGGGGCTTACTAGCCAGGTAGCACTTGAATGTGCTGCACTGAGCTATATGAGCTCCGAGCTTGATCAAGAGAGGGCGCAGTGATTGTAGCAGCAGAGGCTCCTTTGGTGGGAACTGCACTGCACAGGTTTACAAACGACTATGTAATGTACATGTACAATTGTTACTCATGCATTGCTACACCGACAAAATGAACATTCCCCACCAACATGGCTCTTTTCAACCAAAGAGGGGGTGCTTCTGCTTAAGGTGGATACATGTTTTCTTCAGGGAACTTAGACAGTTTCAGAGATGTTTCTTAGCTCAGTGAGCAAGGATAATACTGATTTCCTGCACCTTGAGCGCCAGTTAGGGGGTTATAAGCATCTTTATGACTTAAGGGGAAAATATGACAGCGTCTAAAAGGTAGGGTCATACTTTTGCAATGACTCCGGAAAAAATTGTGTGATTTTTATCCAAAAGCATAACTGGTATAAAGATGGTCATCCTGTGAAATTGTTTCATCTGATATGCCCCTGTTTATTGGAAATCAGTAAAAGGATGTCAAAAAATTGGAATCTCCAAAGGTCGTCTGTAGACTACTTTTGGAAATTTTGCAGTGTCCGTTGGAATGCTGCCCTCGCATGGTGAAACTCTGCCAGTGCTGTGCCTGGTACTTATCAAAGAACCCCTGACCATTTCTGTATTATAGCCTTGTAAATTTGATTTTACAACTTGCATTTATTGGTTAGCCCAATAGTTCTAGGTTGCAACAGTCCAATGGTTCATTGGTCCCAAGGTTCAGTAGTCTGAATATTTGTACAAATTATGTGATGAACTGGACAACATCACACAAACTATTCAGATTATCAAATCATGTTTCATTTTCTGACTAAAGAAAGCCCAGTTATTGGTAATGTGTGTGTTTTGAGTATTGAACCCGTGGCCTATTGTGCAATTACCAATTTTGTTTTGGGGGGGTGACCTATGCTTGTATAGTAGTGGGTTGAAAAGCTCTCCCCATTCTTCACGCCTGTAGTAGATGTATTGAGGTGTACATTGTAAGCAATTAGCATGTTGATGTTGGTCAAATGTTCACTCATGTCATCTTTGTAGTTCAGTGATTACTCATAGGGCCATTTAGTTTTTTCCCTTTCTTTCATTCTGCCAATGACAAGTTCTTACCTTGCTTGAGCTGTAATGGTGGCAATTTATATTTAATTTGAAACGTGTACAAAAACGTTCCCATACCATGTGAAGAGGCTACCGCTGCCTTCCTCGGTGTTTTCATATGCATAATTATGTAGTTCAACGAAGCACATGGTCCACCAACCTATGTAACAATGTAGATTGATGTTGGGGCATTTAAAGCAAGCAATGTTTATTGTTACAGAATCCACTTCTTTTCTCAAAAAGTACATGATTGCCCAAAGGGAAAAAACAGTGGGTAACAGGCATTGCAATGCATTGTTTACAATAAAAATGAACGACAGACTGCATCAATCAAAACGCCAAACCTCTATTAAGGACGGTTCTCTTCAAACGTTTGGGAAAATCTGTAGACGGAGGTGGAGCTTTTTTCATTGAAACGTTTGAACGAGTAAACGTCCCACCTTTAAGAGCTGGCCTTTGTCAATGAGTGAGCTTGCTAGGGAGGAACAGCATCACTCTGAGCAGTGGACAACAGGTTCTGTATGTATTTTCTAATGACATGTTGTGTTAGATCGTAAATTATGAAGAACACCTGTTTAAATAGTTCACTTTCACTTTCCGGTGGCCCTGTAAATTTATTGATGTTCTTTATGGATAGGCGTGTCTGGGTGAATACAGTGTCAACACGTCTTGACCGAAGCATTCAGCACTGCCCCCTCATTTAGAAATTGGAACATGAAACACATCCTGACATGTACAAAGTACACAAAAGCAATTTGAACTAGTGCAACTAAACTTTGAAGCATGAAAGGAAGACTCGATACCAGTGGGAAGTGCCGTGTGTATGTGCACTTGCAGTGTTTCAAATTAACCCCTTTCAGCTGGTTAAGAAGATGTCTTGGCACTTTGGCCCATCTTTGACCTCATTTCTGGTAGGCAGAGTTCGTGGTCATGCTTTTGGGAGTAACACTCTGGTGGGTTTGTTGTTGGTCTCACAGGCAAAATGGGAACAAGAAGCAGATGGAGCTGCTGAAAGCGAGGCAAGAGGAGTTCAGTCTCAAGCTGAAGCAGGATCCCAGATGAAGTGGCTCTGTCATCTTCCAACCAATGGCTGTGCGTCAGAGTAACCAGCCGATGATGAGGGTGAAGAATAGAGGCTACAGATGCTCAATTGCCATTGTTGCTGGTGCACAGCGTACCAGTTTATACTGTCCAATGCCACATGCATGGGAACCAGTGTACGCACAAACCTGGCCCTCTGTACACTGGCTTTTTTGACCAGGCTACATGTACAAAGCATTATTCATTTCAACCCACACTGAGTCCGTTGTTGGTAATAAAAAGCACGCATCCCTATCCCCCAACAGAATTGACTGATTTCACTGCATGAGATGCCATGGCTGAAGTTATGAGCTGGAACTGAAAAACAAAAGAAAATGTAGTACTTCAGTCTAATTTGACAACCAGAATTAGAAGCCAGCACTGCTATTCCACAATTCTCGTGGGCACGTCTAATGGACATGTTTCATGCCCCTTCGACCAGTATGGTGTTGTGATTTGCCAAATACACCCACGCGCCAAGCTGAAGAATGTGCGTGTGAGTGTGATGCCAACAGCAGCTGTGCTGTCTACTCGGGTTAGTCTCTAGGGGAGTGTGCCAGTAAGTGGTTGCCGTGTCTTGGCCAATTTGTGCCTCCATGTACAGTCAAACTTAGCAAACTGTCAAATTACATTGTATTGTGGACCAGCATTAACCCTCACTCCCTGTAGCATTTCTTGCCGGGAGCCTTCCTGGGCCTTTCTAACATCCACCATCGCGCAGGAGCCCCGTGATACCTTCTCTGTCCTTTCATCGCCTGTGTGGCTCCAAACGTGTATGGAAAAAAACAATGACGACTTGGGCAGGATCTTCTGTGATGCCCTGGAAGGTCCTCCTAAATCTCACGGTTGAGATATATATGTCTAACAGTATACATGTCCACCTTTCTCGTTCTTTATCACAGTCTTTTGGCCTATATATACCAATTAATTCTCAACTTGTTAAATATTGATGCAGCTGTCACACAGGAACAATACATAAACACTAGCGATAGATACCAAATAAAAAAGGTCTTCTTTTAAAAGAGTAGGGCAAATGTATATTAGAGTCAAAACCTGACACCAACCAAGTGTGACGCTTCAAAAGCTGCGGCCACCCATTCGAAAAGTTGACAGTATGCACCATGCCAATTTTCACTTTGGCGCAACATGAGTGAAGAAATAGGAAAAAGAGAAACTCCCTAAAATATGAACTGAATAACCTTTGTCTAACAGTGGATTGCCAATGTGTTGTCTAATTGGCAGTTTGGTACTTCTCCATTGTCACCATATGATCTCTTGAAGACGCTGCTGTCTTAAGGCCGGTTCATGCTTGTCGCAAAAACAAACACATGCAAAATTTTGATGTCAGATCAACAGTTTAACATTTCAAATCCATCGAAAGTTTGCCACAAAGCTCTCGTGACGTCAAATTCGCTTCGCTTTCACATTCGCTCATAGTATGAACCAGCCTTTAATCTAGGAGAACAATGTAAGATAAAGTGGAGGAACTAAGAACTTCATAAAGTCTTGGAACTGTGACTAGCTAATTCAGACCAGGATCAGTTGCCTCCAGAATCCACAGATGTCTCTGCTCTAAACCGATTACTGGCGAGCCAACTCAAATCAATACAGTGGTTTATGTGAGATTCGAATTGGAATTGTGTTTACATGATTTTTCAACTGGTCTGAATGAAAAATCCTAAATCCTTACAATACAAGCCTTATATGCTTGTATTCACACGATTCTGCTTGACGTGCACCTTATGTCGTGTAGATTTTTATAACTCTCTTGGTTGTAAGCTTCAGACTATTTCTTATCTTCCATTGCATTTTACCGACTCACCAGCATTTGTTTTAATTCAGTTTGTTTTATTGGGTTGGTCCCCTTAATAAAATTCTTCTGAAAATATCCCAGTGTCGCCGTTTGGAATTGTTTTTATTTCATTCATCGGAGTATTATAATATTTATTACTTGCTCGAAAGTGTCGCATGCGTGCTGTATCTGAGTCCGTGATGCAGTGGCTTAACATATGCACAAGGTTTATTAGGGAAAGGCAGTCTTGGTGGAGTGAGATACTGGAAGATTTTAGTCTGTCTCTAGGACTGAGGACGAACGGAGCTCATTGTTCGAAACGTCTATTTGAAACAAGTGATTCATCTCGGAATCAGTTCGAGCCGTGCCATCCTCCTCGCTTCTCCGGAAAAGCTGTGGCACCTTTGTTGGTACACTTAACTCCAGGATTCCAGTTTTACTACATTGATGAAGAATACACACGTGCCTAAAAATTAAGTCTGTTACGAAGTAAAAGTGGTTGCCGATGAATTGAATCACTTGTTTACTTCACTGAAACACTGGCTTGACTTGTAATATCTGTAACATGCGCTTCGTTACCACATTCTATTCCAATCAAGGAATTCTACCAAATAGTTTTCAAGTCCATGCACTCGGTCGATAGAGACGTGGTTTTTTAAACATGTACAGTCCCTAAACCTTCACAAGAGCACAGACATGGATGGTTTTCCAGCTAGATTTACTTACGATTGCGCAGGTACCACCTGCTCAGTAGTCGTCTACTTGCTTAATTTGATTTGTCCGTAATCAACAAAACTTCCCCAACTTCACTTCAAACTGCTAAAGTCATTCCCTTATTAAAAAAACATAATAAATTTGAAACAGTCTCCATTCTCACTGCGTTTAGCAAGGTATTAGAAAAAGTGGTTTATGAACAGGTTGAAGAGTACTCATACCAAAAAATGATCTGCATGAATTCCACTCCGGTTTTTGATCCCAATATATTCAACTGAAACCTCCCTGATCCAACGTAACAGACTTCATCAGATCTAAGTCGAGTAGAGGTAAATATGTCGGAGCGATCACGCCAGACCTACTAAAAGCTTTTGACTCCGTCAGCCACGAAATTCGTAAAGTTAGCTGCGATAGGATTTTCAGATAGCACAATGAACTGGTTTGAATCTTACCTTTCTCAAAGATAACAGGTGGTTGAAGTTAACAATGTAAGATCACGTGAACTCAATCTAAGCTTTGGTGTCCCGCAGGGCTCGATATTGCTGTTCTTGTCCTATATTAATGACGTGTCATATTCTGTCGACTGTAAATTACAGCTATATGCAGACCACGCAGTGTTTATAGCCACGAACAAAAATGCGTACATCGTAGAACAGAAACGACCTGCAGAACTTACTAATGTCAGTAGCATGGCTCGCAGATGATAGACTATCAATCTATCTTAGTTAAACCCAATCTATTGTACTTTGTAACAGAAAGAACCTTCGAATAAGAAATGTTCTGAACATAACCTGCAACGGCGACGAAATCAAACGAGCCAGATCAGTGAACTATCTTGGTCTCAGACCAAGATCTAATGGCAGGCTTATTTCACAGAACATTATTTCTATGGCTAATTCCAGATTAAAATTCATGTATCGGCATCAAAGCTGTTTCAGACCCAAGAAAACTAGACTTAATATTCACTCATTTAGTTTTCTATTTCTGTTCCTGGTACTCTTCACTGTCACTAAAATACAAAAATAAACCCCAAATCTGTAAAAACAAAACCATTCGCTTTATTAATTAACAACCTACCCTCCAGATCTAACATTGGTTTCAATGAGCTTCACGAAATAGGGTGGCTTGAGATGGAACATCGAGTAGAATTCCTCAAGGCAAGTCATGTTTTTAACATCCTTAAATTTCTCTAAAATATCTCAAGCACGACTTCACTAAAATTTCAGAGATGTCCATCATTACCCCACGAGATCTAATCAGTTCAATTTTTTACTCCACATCAAAGGAACAGATATTAACTCATTTTTACAGAGGGATTAAATAATGGAATTCACTGTCATCCGCCCATTACAGAGTGAAAGAAGACTCTTATTCAAAACGAAGCTGAAAAGGTTTCTTTATAAAATTCATGCTGCCGAACAGCTAAACAAAGATGAATATGCACCAGATATCCCCGCAGGATGGCACATACATTTTTAGTGCAATAAGCTTGAAGATGGTGCTTTAAGGCCTTCAATTTCAGTGCTTGAATTTTGATATTTTTGGGTAACTAATCACTGACAAAGACTAAGATTTCTTTAATAGGCCATCTGTCAATTACGGACTTAACTATAATTTTAATGATGAGCTGAGCGTAAAGTTTTTTGCTTATTTGTTTTGTGAAATAGGCTATTTTGTTGTTCTTAACGTAAATGTAAAGGACTGAGTCAAATAATATTTTTGGTTATTTGTGCAAGTTGTGGCTGTGTGAAACAATGCAATTTTCAGGTTTTTTTGTATTTTTGCAGAGCAATGTTCTGAGAGTGTATGTTGATTTGTTGTATTTTTGATGGTTTACAGTTTTTGGATGGATTTTTAAATGTATTTTAATGTACTTGTACTCAAGTTAATTTTCTCACCGACTGGGACTGCAATGGAATAAGTTACGTTAACATTTTTGTGATATCCCTATTTCCACTTATTGGGAATCGTTGCGTTTCCTTTCCAAATTTCCAAATCAAATCAAAAAAGAAAATTTGTTTCACTATCCCTGAGAAGCCGCTTACATTCGAACCAAATGAAATCACTCCAAGCATTCGTCTGGCATCCTATCATCATGCAGAAAAAGGTCAACGCCGTCGATGTCATGTATCAGGTCGCGTATTCTTCTTTTAGTTCATTCCACAACATTCTGGGGATACGCTATGAACTTTCCTATGGGAAAATTGTTTCATTGCCAGTCTTGAAAACGAGACGTTTCTTGACGCTACGTAGAAGCTTGCCCTGCTGAAATGCCAGAGTTCACTTCCCTTTGGAAAAAATCCATCCTCCAAAGCCACGATTTTAACCTTCATTCAAGGAGAATTTCCCCAGCCTGTTGTGTTAATAAACAATGCAGTCACGTCAGGGAATTGAGCATGGTGCCAGAGAGATGAAGCTAAGTGTTGGAATCATCCTTATTGCGCTTTGTCGTAGCTCGAGGGTTGCCCTCTCGCGATCAACGCAAGCGGCAGGTTGGCTACATGTGTTATCCGCATGTCAGCTGGAAATATGGGGACTCACTGGTACCGTTGTATGGATATCAACAGCAGCCAGAGTACCTGGAAAAGCTGTCCCAGGTGTAGAATCCTGCAGTGTAAGAGTAATTGTCTCTTGACCATAATACGTGAAAGTATGGACCACCCCATCAGTCCATGAGCACTCGTGGAGTTGGGAAGAAAATCATGTTTTTAGCCTTCGTGAATTTACTTCCAATCATGAATCAGACAAGCACCAAATCTCAGCAGCTAGCTGTGTGTTTGAAGACGAAAATAGTCCCTTAATTGCAGCTTAGGCATGGTTTAAACCTGAGGTGCTTTAGAAGATCGTTGAATCGCTCTCCGTACGGTCACTGATTGTGGCGCATTGCAAAACGAGCACTAGGGGGAAGGAACAAACAGCCCTTGCTTGTGCATAATGACATAAGACTGTGAAAGAGTTTGTAAATTGATGTGACCATGGGGAAGGGACACAGGAGTTTGAACTACCCGGGCTGTAACATCTGGCCAATTACCGGTTTCTGAAATGCCCGCTATGTCCATGCCAGAGTGCAGCGAATGCTTGCTACGCATTACCTGTTCCACAAGCTTAAACCTCCTTTGTACCCCATGATCATCCCCGTAATTTTTCCGCTGGTAATCTGCATCCTTAAAACGTTGTGTAATGCTGTATAGGAAGTCGAATATTCATATCATCGCTGGCGGTTGATAGGGTCTGACAACAACATCAAATTTAATGCTTGCGCAGTTGCTTGCATTAGGCTGTGTACCTGAAGTGTTAATGTGCAGTCATTGCCCTCATTGAACGCTTTGGCTTCTGGAGTTATTTTAGGAATAAATAGCCAAGTTGTTTATAAGATATTGTCTTTTATTTGAATCATTTTTACTGCGGCATTTATACAAAAAGATATTTTACGAGATCTCGGTATCACTCCTTGTGATGAATGAGCGCGTTTTGTTTGTTATGACCCTGACTGTCTAATGGTGGCCAACATGTTGCTGGCCAGTTTTAACCAAATTTGTACAAAGAGCAAAGAAGTGCTCATCAGCCGTAAATTAAAAGACGCATTTCCTTTGGCCCTTAGTGGTGAAATCCTGGCTGGTTCATAAACATAATTGACACTGTTTCATGGAATGAGGTTTTGCCATGCAAATGAGTGATCGTTATGTCAGTGCCAAGGATGTATGCAAATAGTTGCACACAGTCTTCACACAGCAACCCGTATAACTGTATTCTGATTTGTTGCTGGTCTATCGCAGGTTTAATCCATGGTAACGGAATAGGCCTACACCTTGCGATTTACGCTCCGCCTTTCTCCATTATCGTCACTTGTCTAACAACACTTTCCACAACTCACCGTGGGTTGTATAAGCTAGTGATAAGGGGGTATATTACATAAATAGATCTACAAATTTGTAAAGTTGCTTATAGCTTGTAAAACAGTTCCCCTCAACCCATTAGAGACTGTTCTACGTCGCTTTATATTGATCATTTGTACGTTTGAGATTTAGTTTTCCTGTCCCAGAACATCTGACATTAGATTTTGTACATCAAGGATGTCGGTAACTGATAATCAAGCTTGCAACCCTGACAACTTCATATTTCATACATCTCTGCAAAACATAAAAGGTAAGAATCGGTAACATTACATTGCTAAGTTCCTTGGTCACAAAGTCAAAACATGTTTGTGTAGATACCGAATAAAACGTGAATTTTGTATTTATAGCAAAATGGAGTATGATCAATTCGTAAATGTCTTACAACTAGATGCCTTTTTTGTTTTTCCCCTACTGATAGTTGTCAGATTTGCTGTCTATGAACATATGAGCAACAAAAATTGATCCCTGTTCCATAGTGTGATTTCA